CCGTTCGTCTACAAAGCCGGGGAAGGGAGGAGGCTGGGACTGTGGGATGTGAATACCATGGGAGCCAGAGAAGCTCTACCACCTATTGGAGCCAGGCCCTGGGGGCGAGACAGTGCTGCATGCATGGGCATGCCACCACAGGCCTGTGCCTGGTGATCCTGCAGCCAGCTCCAGCTGCATGGGAGCTCTGCGTGGGGCCTGGAGATAACAGCACAGCTCCAGGTGGCGCGTTCAGTCCAGGCTCTGGGTCTTGGCATCAGTGCGTGGTGCCTTTACCTCCATGCTGAAGCAGGATGACCATATTTGAGCGTGTTAAATTGGAGCACTATCTTGTCTGCGTGTCTAAAAGTTGGGGCAGCTTCTTAAAAGAAAGCGCCCACCCCTGAAGTGGGGGCCATAGTCGTAGCTAGGTCGAGCAGCAGCTTTTTCACCTCCCACCTTGATCCTGGCGGTGGCTGCGTGCTCTCAGGCGGTCTCTCAGCTTGTAACCCCGTTCCTTTTTATCCTTCTCTTCCCACAGCTCACCATCATCTTCAAGAGCTTCCAGGAATGCGTGGAGCAGAAAGTGTACCAGGCGGAGATGGACGAGCTCCCTGCCGCCTTTGCTGACGGCTCCAAGAACGGCGGCGACAAACACGGAGCCAACAGCCTGAAGATCACCGAGAAGGTGTCAGGTCAGCACATCGAGATCCAAGCCAAGTACATCGGCACCACCATTGTGGTGAGGCAGGTGGGCCGCTACCTCACCTTCGCCGTGCGTATGCCGGAGGAGGTGGTCAACGCCGTGGAGGACCGGGACAGTCAGGGCCTCTACCTGTGCCTCCGCGGTTGTCCGCTCAACCAACAGATTGACTTCCAGACCTTCCGCTTGGCTCAGGCCGCCGAGGGCCGTGCTCGCAGGAAGGGGCCCAGCTTGCCGGCCCCCCCTGAGGCCTTCACTTACGAATCCGCCACAGCCAAGTGCAGGGAAAAGCTGCCCGTAGAGGACCTCTACTTCCAGTCCTGCGTCTTTGATCTCCTGACTACGGGGGATGTCAACTTCATGCTGGCTGCTTACTATGCCTTTGAGGACGTGAAGATGCTTCACTCCAACAAAGATAAACTGCACCTCTATGAAAGGACACGGGCCCTAGCCCCGGGAAACGCGGCTCCCTCGGAGCATCCCTGGGCCCTCCCTGCCCTCTGGGTAGCACTGCTGAGTTTGAGTCAGTGTTGGTTGGGTTTGTTATAGAGTTTTGCTCCTTCACGCTGTGGGGAAAGGGGAGCAGGAGGGGACAAGGGACAAGATGACTGCACTGGACAAGGAGAGATTGGAAAAAGGATCCGACGGGGAGCACGTGGATCGTCCTCAGATCTCAGCTCCTTTCCAGCACCCAGTCTTTCATCGCCCCAGCTCTTGCCCTGGAGGAACACTATATGCCCTGAGGACGTTTGGGAGATTCTGTTGGACTACACCTCAGGTGGTCCTTCCCCACTTCCCCTCACCTTCATCCTCCTCCTCTCTGTAGCATGAGTGCTGGGGAACCCCCACCTCCTTGCACCGCTGCTCCACGGTCCCAAAATGCTCATGGTGACTGTGATGTTGGCGTGTGTGAACGTGGCTTTGTGTTAGGGAGCCACAGGCGTGATGTGGCTGGGCTCCACTTTTTGGGGTGTGCTTCTTTCTGCAGCCCCATCGCTGCAGGAAGCAATGCAAAGCAGCAGGCAGGGGCCAAAATGGTGGGGCTGACCGCAGAAAGAAAAAAGGTATCATGGTGGAAGGAGGCCGTGATCCTCAAGCTACAGCTTGTGTTTTCTGTGGTTCAAAGGGCATCTGCTATTTTAGCCACTTCACCTGATTCACTGATTCACTCCACAGTTTTATTCCTGGCTCCCTTGTCTCTACCCGGACCCGCTGAGGACTCTTGATTGCAACAGGAGAAACCTGGCCAGTATTCAAGCATTTTCTTTAACTTGTGCCCAGTGTCAGACGAGCTCCTTGTGCCGTTTGCTCCCCTAAAACTGGCACTGGGGAGGCTGCTCAGTGGGAGACCCCATCTGCACCCCCTCAGGCCCCGCATCCCCTTACCTGCCTGTGGATCAGCCAGGTCCTGAAGCAGGAGCATCCCTCTCTGTTTGCTGCTAGATCTCTGCTCCACTCCTTCTCCCAGGGTCATGACTTGCAACCCCATTGCAGACCCATTGCACCTTAAGCCCATCTGGGCTTGTCTCTGGAATGGGGCAATGTTAGAAATTCAGCCAGGAGACAGGATGCAGCAGAGGGTCCCCCCTCCCCATCTGCCCCCAGATGTCTGTTCCCTCCCTCGAGACCGTTGGTAATCTCCTTCCCCCACCACACAGTGCTTCCCTTCTCCTTCCCGTATTCCTCTGTGGTTCACCTCATTGCTCACTGAACAAAACGAGACCACCTTTGGTTTGCACCGTGGAGACCTCTTTGTGGATTTTCCCTCCTTTCCTCAGAGGGAATTTCCCATAAGTCATCCCCCAAACATGCATCACTCTTGGGGGAACGTCCTGCTCAAGGGAGGTCTCTGGGCATGACAAGTCAAGCTAGCACCAAAAGAGGTGGGAATAGGCGACCTTTGGCAGTCAGAACTGGTGCCAAGAGGCAGCCTGGTGTAAATACTCAGCGTGACTTTTCATTGTGTCCTAACAGCTCTAGAGCTCCATTTGTAAAGCAGCAGAGAAATGCAAAAATTTGTGTCAATGGATGTAATTTATATTGTCTCTTTAATATATAGAGCCCTGGCATTGATCTCGTGTGACTGTACAGATGAAGAGATGTAATTGGTTTTTAAACGTTTAAGGAAAGAAAAGAAACAAAAAGAAAAAAAAAAAAAAAAAAAAAAAAGATGTGTTTACTACTTTGCTCCTTGCTTTGTTTGCTGGTGCCCCAGGAATTCTGTTTAGGCAGGTTTTAAAATAAGGATATCGCAGTTTGACGGCACTGAGGAGACCAACTGCTGGGCTGCTGGGCTTCCCCACGTGCTGACTGCTCAGCAAGGCTGATGGGGACGTTTTTGCTATACTAAATAGCCAGACTTTTGTCTCCTGGAAACCCAAAACCCACATTTTGAAAGGCAGAGAGTTTTTCACTCAGAGGAAACATCCGTCTCTTGCTGCTACCCCATAGGTAACAGCCGTGGTGTGATGTGATCTTAACTGACCAACCCACAGCGTGCCAACAAGTACATCCATCCCATAAGGCCTCCCCTAATGACCCATCAAGGGTAATTTCCAGCCAAGGAAAGCCTGTTTAATTACCGCATGGCTCAGTCCCGCTGTTGGGGTGAGCAGCCCAGCTGGTGGTCGGCTGTTAGAAGGTGGTTGGGGTATCCCTATTTTAGAAGCAAACAGTGAAGCACTTTATTTTGGTTGTGTTCGACCCAGTTCTGCTTAGAGGTGAAGTGTGGCCAAGAAAGACCCAATGGATGGAAACAAAAAGGCGTAGGAAAGGGAGGGCTGTGACGGGATGGTCCCCGCCTCCCTGCGCTCAGACCCACGGAGTGTCACCGCCTGTACATACTGTAAATTATTTATTGAGAGAAATGCAAGTAAAGTTTGAGGGTTTTTTTGACAATAAATCAGTGGGTCTCGTTTTATTCCCGGTGTGTTCTATGGTGCTGCTCGCCGCTCGCTGCCCCATTTCTGCCCCTTCCCCGAAGCAGCTCGCTTCAACCCATAACCCGAGGAGCCTTTCACACCTCATCCCTGCGCTGGAATTGGCCCAACCGTGCGGATTTCGCCCCATCCCGGCTCCCCGCAGCTCCTGTCCGCCGGCAGGGCAGCACGAGGTCCGCGATCCCCCCGGGCGGCTTTTTGCCGGGAAGCGGGCGCCCCCTGCAGGGCCGGCTGTGCCACGGCACGGGGCGAACGCGCGGCCTGACGCGAGGCGGGGCTCGGCTCCAGGCACGGGGGGGTGGGCAGGGGAAATGCTGGGAGCCGAGGGCGCTGCGCTGCGCCCTGACACGGCCGAGGGCGGTTGTGGCCATCGGCCGAGTCCACGTGCTTCGGGCTTCCATCCCTTTGGGCTGGGGATGATCTGTGAGCGGATCAGCCTGACGTTACACCGCCGTGCCCAAATCCTTACCTGCGGCACCGTCCGCCCCGAGCTTCTCCACCTTCTCCCTGCGTACGAGACGAGGCAGCGCGGAACGAAGACCCGCAGGCTCGGCTGGGTGCACGGCGCTGTGCTCAGGGCAGGACGGCAGCCCGCCTCCCACGGCCCCGCTGCAGGGCCTCCAGCCCCTGGCCGTTCTGACAGCCCATCATTCTTTCCATTAGGAAACCCATTTTTCAGGGGCACGTAATTCAGCCATGAAATTTCACTCCCGGTCGAAACTTGGCTCGGTTCAGCAGAAGAGAGGCTGGAAAGGGGCGGACGCCGCGGCTGCAGGTGTGAAAAGCAAAAGCCCTTTTTACAATGAGCTCTTATAACTCGGGAGAAATGGTTTCAGTGCCTGCGCTGTGCCCCGCTGGGGACTCGGTGTGAACGGGTGGAGGGGAAAAAGCAAAGTGAAGCAGAGCCCATCGCATCGCAGCTGGGGAGAGGGGGAAGGAGCAGAGAATGCCACCAAAGAACAGGGAACATGGAAAGGGGAATTGTCCCAATAAAGGGTCAAAAAGAGGACTGTGTACCCACGGAGATCCCAAAGAGCAGGAGGTTGGATAAACATCACACCCATCCTGGATGGAAACCAGCGAGGAAATGGCACAGCTTCTCCTGATCAGGTGGAAATTCCCATCCAAAGGGGTTTCCGAGTCTGGATCAACCCCTCCTCTATCACCTGAGGCTGCAAAATTACATAAAAGAGCTGAGAAGAACAACTTGGACATGCTTATTGCTGCACGGTGAAAACACCCATCCTGGCATGCAGAGAAGGGTCCCACAATCCTGTGACAGCCCCAGTTTTCAGCACCCACCGCATTGCATCCAGTCTGGCACAGTTCTGAAAACCTCAGGAACACTTTTTAATATACAAGAATCAAAAGTACAGCAGTTTTACAATGTAGGAAAATTTAATACATACTATATAAACAACATATTTACATCAGAAATCACTAGGACAGTGGCATTTTTTTTTTTTTCCCACAAATATAAATTAATATTAATTACTGTTTTTTTAGTCAACAGGTTTAAAAGACTTTTACAGTAAGAGTCCTTCTCTCCCTGGAGGGAGGTGGAGGTGGGGAGGAAATGAGTGAAAGCAGAAAAATAGTTGTGTGGGGGTCACTTAAACTGTTCACGTGAGGGACCTCAAAGAGCCACCTCGGTTGGGCACCGCACAGCCTGTCTGCTCTGCAGGACTCCGTGGGCTGAACTCACAACATTTCCCAGGGCTCAGGCTGAAAAACGTTCTTCAGAAGACAAACGGATGAACAAACGAATGAACGAACCAACAAACACACAAATGAACAAACCCAACACATTGCTACTTTTTCCTGCAAAGAGGAGAGAGGAAACCCCACAGCTGGCTCAGAAGGAAGAGCTGCACCAGGTGCTGACACAGATACCGCAGTGACGTTTATGGCTGTGGATCTGTCCTCTCCAATGCCACTCACACCAAGCGACTACGTCTGGTCCCTATTTAGAGGGGATAAAATGTGTGCACGCACACCTGGGGAAGACTTTCCCTGCAGATTTCCAGCCGCATGAACGTGCAGTCCAGTGAGGAGCCATCCACTGTGAGTGAGCAAAACCAGGGGACTGTTCAGTGGCAGAACCATGTGACAGTGGGGACCACACTTTGCCAGCTACAGCAAAGCTTTTGCTGTTGCACTGGTTTCAAGAAAGAAAACCCAAACCACCTCATGCTTGGAATCTGGGACAAACAGAACCCTTCGTGCACGGGCACAGAAGTGCCTCTTGTTGGAAGCTTGAAGTTACCCTGCACCAACCATAACACTGGTCTGGCCAGTATTGCCTCTTGCTACGATTTGTATGGCACAAACTCTCCATCACGATAGCACCACTGTGTGAACATGAAAAGAGCTCCTTGCCTCTGTGAGGTTTCTTCCAATTTTACTTTAAAAGCTAATACCTCTGAAAAGAAAGGACCTCTTTGTAGAATACCACAGCAAGTGCAATCACAGCTTAGTGAGAAAGGCAGCAGCAACGCGTTGCCTCAACGCCTCTGGCACGGCGTGGACACGTGGGGGTTAGTGTTGATTTGTGTGCGCTTTCCAAAGCGCCTGGAGCAGGAAGGCCAGCCCTCAACACCCCTCAGACTATCAGGGAAAGGACATCACAGCTTATTAAGGTCATATACTGGCATCTTAACAGAGCCTCAACTTCTGCCCCCCACCAAGAAGAGCAGCCTGGAACGGCCTGATCTTTAATACTGAACTCTGGGAGACGAAGCATCCGCAGACACCACGCTTTGGGCAGCCTGGCTGTTGAGAGAGCCTTGTTCTTTGCAGGGATGCAGTTCTATTGACAAAGACCACACTGGCTTCTGATCAGCAACCCATGCAGAACTGCTCCCCACACTGCCGGCTGGACACTGTTCTGTATCATTTGCAATGACTCCAACACTTGGAGGAATGTTTGCTCTGCCCGCTGAGCTGGGCTTGCAAACCCCTCTTCTCCCTCTGCCACGCTGGGCCTCTAAAACACCTGCACCAGGAATTTTTAAGTACCAAGTCCTGAATTCCTCTTTTTTTTTTCTTTTCCTCCTCACTTAAGTGCTAAGCCCGCAGGCACATCTCCAACTTGGACTGCTGAACGGTGGCAGAAAGGTGACAGGTGACCATTCCCAGACAGAGATCAGCTCACAGCACTGCCATTCAACTCTGTGCTACCACCCCTTATCTGTTAGTTGTAGTATAGATTTGTGATCACCTTTTTGTGAAGCACAGAGAGAAATGACTTGCCCAGAATTAAGAGCTTCAGGGTCCCCAGATGCCAAGAGCCATCTCTTGTCCTGCTCCCAGCCAGCACCTGTGTTAATTCCTGGATATCCAAGCTGCCCATGTCAGGAGAGAAGAGGGGTCTTGTTCCGAATTCCTGTGCCCTGTCCATGAGGAAATACTGCTCTCACCCTAGTTTCTTTCCTACTTGTTGGAAGTGAAATAACCCTTTGCTACACAAGAAGTCTGCCTTTTTTCACATATCTCAGAGTCTCCCAGAGTCAAGATTTGCTGATTCCAGCCCTGGATCCCCCTCTGCTCTTCTGTGGCAGTGGACACAATGGCAGACAGAGCAGAGCCAGTTTCTTGAAATGGATAAAGACACGAGAAATGATAATGAGTCCAAAAAAATGATGGATTGTCACCAGCATGGATCCAACTCCTTTGGAGTCACTGTAGGGACACAGAGTTCCTCTTTCAACCAAGCCCTTGTGACAACAACAGCTTGGATGCTGAGGGAATCTCCTATCCCTCCTGGAAAATACCATCCATTGACCTATGCTGGTTACACACAAAGCCCAGCCCAACCAGTTTATCCCCAGTCCCAAAGCAGCATCTGTCACGTAACATCAAGACCACGCAGGCACACAGCCTTCTGGCACAATCCTAAGCAGCACTGATCCGCCTTCTCAGTTTTGAGGAAACACTGTGGCTGAGGAAAATTCACCATGTGTCCGTCGGATTGGGGAAAACAAACCAAAGAAAAAGAATGAGGCAAGTCTGTTTCCAACGTTCAATGAGAGAAAGGGGGGGGAACAAAATGGGAACCCAAATTAGAACTGAGTCTTCCTCCACCTGCTCCTCCAAAATCCTCCTTGACCCAGCAAGATGATAGCAGCATGTTCAGAGTTTCTGGTTGTTGCATCCAAGTCTTTCCAGATGTGTTTCCCCCCCTTCTCAGTCGCTTTACGTTTTCCTAATGTTCCAGTTATAGTCTGGATTGTTTTTCTGTTCTAGCGACCTATCCAGAGGCGACCTGTGATCGAGAGGCGACTTGGAATCATGAGGAGATTTCTGAGAGGGGGGCGAGCGAGGGTCCGACACGGAAGGGTGAGGTGGAGGAAGGGGCTGTTTGTAGTCTCCCGGTTTGTCTGTGTGGAAGGACCGGTAGTGGTCCGAAGGTCCTTGGCCATGGTACCCCATGGGCGGCCTGTGATCAGACATCCGTCGGAAATCCTGCTGGTGGTAATTCTGAGGCCTGAACTCGTCGGATCGTCGGCGCTTGGAGTCGTGGTGGTGCCTGCGGAGAGAAAACGGGTGGATGGAGGTCAGCTCCCCAAGGAAAATGGCACTGAGGGACGTGACTTAGTGGGCACGGTGCGATGGGGTGACGGTTGGACTGGATGTTCTTACAGGTCTTTTCCAACCTTAACGATTCTAAGAAAGCTTGTCCACGGTGGCTGCGTGCACTGCTGCAAACCCCTGCCAGCCTCCCTGAGAGGAACTACAATTACCTGTCGTAGTAATCCCGGTGGCCTCTGTGGTCTCGGTCACTGCTGTACTGTTCGTACGGCCTCTTGCGGGAGAGGTTATTTGGTCTGTAGTTCCCAGAGCTGCGGTGCGGCTCTCCACGAGATCGCCGGTCCCCATAGTGGTGGTCCTTGTACCAGTGCTGCTCGTATTGGTGATGCCGCTCCCCGCCCCACATCTGGTTGCTGTTGCCACTGTAGCTGAACTTTCGATCTCGTTGCCACTCTCCTCGGTCTGCAATGAGGAAAGCAGTGAGAAGTGCGTTTAATTTTAAGCCTAGTACTTCTTTGCTCAATCCTCAAACAACTGATAACCTTTTACTGTTGCTCCTTTCACTTTTTCTTCCCTGAATTATACGGATCTCATTTTATTTCTTGTATTTCCTCACCATTATTCTAGCTAATCTCATTCTCTCCTGTTTTTTATACTCTCTCCCCACACTGTTATCATGTTTTCTAGTCCAGCAGTAAGGACAGCATTCATGTACGTTCCATCCCATCACCTTCAAACCTGAGCAGCCACAGCCTGTGTCCAAGAGCAAACAGCCACTAGGTTAGGAGGAATGGTTGCTTCTGGTTTCCCAGCACTCACCTGTGTTGCTGAAGTGTCTCTTGGGGGGATGGCCGTAGCTTTCACGTGGGTGCCCGTGCATTTGCTGCTGGGCGTGGGAAGGGGGCATGTGGAGCTTCTGGGAATGAGGATTGTGAGGCACGTGAGACTGGGCCATGGCAGGATCGCGGCTGGAGCCCGAAGGCTCTGGGCGGAACGGCTTCTTCACGCTGGGCATGCTGGCCATGTCCTCCTTCTTTTTCTGCTCCTGGAAGGGGTAAGAGAGTTATAACTCAGCTGCTCTTCGACCACAACTCAGATCACGTGAGCGGCGGCTCAGTTTGTCAGGCCCTGGGCTGGAGATCCCCCGTTTTGTGGGCCACCCACCTCCTTGTGAAGCAGCTGTGCCCAAGTGTGGGCAAGTGCAACAAGTGGTAAAGAAAGCACCCAGAGGAAAGGCACTTCACATCTCACCTCCTCTTCCTGCGACCTTTTCTTATGAGCCATCTTGTAGAGTTTGTGCAGTTTTCTGGCATCAAATTCTGTGAACTTTGACACAAATATCCATAGGTTCCTGGAAGGACATGAACTTTTTCTGTTAATTGCTATGTGAGCTGTTCAACTGCCATCTGCTTTCAAACCAACACCAAATCAGTTCTGCCCTCTAAGGAAAACAGTCACATTCCAGCTCAGGACAGGATGTTTCAGGAGAGTTGGAACAAAGCCCTTCGAAGTAGAATAACTGTTTTGCACTGGTTTCTCTAAACTAGCTCTGAAATCAATTTAAATGAAACCAGCACAACTTGGAAACAAAACCCTCACCAGAGGCTGATCAAGGTCTGAATAGGCTACAGAACATGAGGTTTCTCTCACATTCAGTAAGAGGCAAATAGCACACTCATCCACACAAAACCCAGCAGCCAAAGTGCCCTTTTGAAATATCACAGATCAGCAAAGGAAAACAAAATGATCCCTCACCTTCTCCATAGCTTGATAAGATCCTGGTCGGTGTAGGCTTTAAGGCACTCAGAGATGCGGTCCCCAATTTTTAGGAGGCAGTTGCGTGTGTGCTCCAGCTGTTCCTGAACCGTCAGTCCCTTATCAGGCTTATCAAGTTGTTTCAGTGCTTTTTTCACTGGTCTCATCCTTTCCTTGCACTTGAGAAAGAAACAGTAGAAAGTGATTCACTTGGCAAAGGGCTCTGCACTGTTCCCTGGTTAATCAGAGCTGAAAGAAGTTCATTAGCATGAGGTATTAGCTTTATCTAACCGTTAGGCAAGGAGAAACCATCTCTGAAAGCAGCAATTCGTTAGACGTGCTGCAGAAAATAATCAGGAAATGATGAGTCTCTCCATCTGTGCCGTCCCCTCAGTCTTTTGGAGGTGAACAATTTGCTTTGCAAACAGTAAAGGCACACGGGCTGATCCCAGGACAGGCAGGGAAGTGGAACTGAGCATCGACACGCTGAACGAGCAGCCCCAGCTGAATTAGTGCTCTCAATGGCCTCCCTGTCCATCCCAGCCTGTGTTTGCTTTAATCTATTGCTTTTATTAAGACTGGGAGACACGAGATGGAAGCATCACCTTTTCCTATTGGAGCCATCAGCACTTTGCACAGGCAGTACATCAGACAGGTTTCCACTGCCTGACTGGACCTTTCACGCACCACAGAGGGAAAATAAAAGGGGAAAAAAAAAGCCATAAAGATAACATAGGGCCTACAGGGAATACACAGATTTGAAAATAGAGAGATTTCAAAGTACGGAACTGTTTTTAAAAACTGATACTTCAGCATTTCACTATGTAAGTCAGACAAAGAAGCATCTGTCACAACAGCTAGGCTATTTTTACAAGCCTTGCAGGCACGTTTGCTGCCAGAGCATTTACAGAGCTAGGGATGTGCTTACACAGCTCCAACAACTGCATACCAACTACAGCCATACAAGGTCACTCTTGAAGTCCCCCTGTATTCTGCCACCTAGAGCAGCCCCCAATGGCTCCCTGGCCCCTACAGCAGACAAGACTGCCACATCAGGCTGCTGTATCATCTGTGACTCAGGCTGCCAAGTGAGCAGTGGGAGTTTATTCTTCCAGTACTTGAAGGGAGCACATAAAAATGATGGGGAGTAACTGTTTACATGGGTTGATAGTGATAGGATAAGGGGGAATGCTTATAAAGTAAGAGAGGGGAGATTTAGGTTAGCTATTAGGAGGAAGCTTGTTATTCAGAGGGTGGTGGCGCATTAGAACAGGCTGCCCAAGGAGGTTGTGGATGCCCCATCCCTGGAGACATTCAAGGCCAGGCTGGATGTGGCTCTGGGCAGCCTGGTCTGGTGGTTGGTGATCCTACACATGGCAGGGGGTTGGAACTGGATGATCTTTGAAGTCCTTTTCAACCCAGGCCATTCTATGATTCTGTGATATGATCAGCTGAAGAAGACAGCTTTCTGAGCTTTGAAATTTCTTCCTGTTGAGGTGCCATGTACAGCAGCTGCTGGCGGGCACAGAGGACAACCCTTGCTGGGCAATCTCTTGGGCAGGGTTGTTCTGTCATGCTGCCAGGCCAACTAGAAGAAATTGGTGTGGGGCTCTATGAGGAGGGTCTCTCCTTGCTGAAGTGGATTTACAGATCAGTGCTGACACCCAAAACACACCCTCGGATAAAGTACAAGCACACACTGGCTTACTGGGAGGCTCTGCCATTATCATCCCATCTCCTGAAGAAATACTCACTATGCTGAATGTTTCTTGGTCCAGATCATCATCCTCATCCTCTCCAATAGGGACTGGTTCACTCCCCGCTGTAATGTGGACGGGACCTTGCGATCTCTTCCCTTTACTTCCAGATTTGGCTTCACCACCTTTAGGCTTTACGAGGACAAATTACATCACATGATGAACCAGTCTGCAGGACCCCAAGTGATCCAAGTAACAGCCTGCACACTATTGTTACTGGCAGTCGTTAAACCCTGGGCACAGCTCCTACAACTTTCCTCCCAAGATTTCAAACTGTTCTGCTATAAGGCCTCTGTTTAGCTTTATGTCATCCCTGAGGGAGCAGAGGGAACTAAAAGCCAATGTTTTGGACCTGAATATTATGGTTATACTCACAAAGAGAAAAAACAGCATTGGAGAGGTGAAGCTAAAGAATATATGCCCCTTGCAAACAGCCTAGACTAGTCTCACGCCTGTGAAGACTTGCAACTTCACATAGCATCACTAGCCCTCAAACTAGCTGTTCTGGAAAGCAAACTCACATTTAAATTAGGTGTAATTTTTTACTTATATAGTTTATCTGTAGTCAGAACCACACGAAGCATCACTGGAAAGCAAACTGTCTCCTGCATACACAGTGAAGCTCTCTGGTTTGTACTTGTGACCTCAGTGTCAAAACACAGTGAGCACACAGCACACACCTGCCCACTGGGCAGGCACATCAGGTAATCATTCCAGAACCTTTTACTTCTCTTCCAATCTGAATTCAGCCTAAAGGCAGTCGTACCCAAAATTCAAGGGACATTTTAGCCTATGACATACCATTGGTGTTGAAAGACTGATTCTGATGGGTCCTGAACAGTCACAAGGTTAATCCAGTCCTGGCAGAATGGTCTGCTAGGTTATTTGGGGCGAATTTAAATTAGAGAGGAATGCAGACAAGTAGCTGCCAATCCTGTGATAAATCACAGCTGAACATAACTTTGAACTGAGTGCTCTGTGCTCTGCACCCTTTCTTCCTTAACACCAGCTATTAAGCCACGCTGCTGTCACAGGACAGCTATACTTTACACACAGTCCAACAAAATCTTTTCTTCCTTTTTGCTCCTTTTTCACAAGGCTTAGGATTTGTTGCCTTTTCCACTCCTTAGTGCAATTCTACACACTAAGGAGCTCAGCAGGGCTGCAAAATGGATAAGGTCTCACCCCAGTATTTTATTAATGACTCTTCACTCTGGGCCTTTAATAGGACTCACAGCCTACCCCTCTGCTCAGGCTTCCCTGTCTCTTAAACTGCTCACGAGAGTATTGCATACCTTCTCTTTCTTTTCTTTTGTCTTCTTTTTCTCTTTATCACTTTCCTTTTCTTTCTTAGTGCTTGTCTGTTTTTCCTTGTTCTCTTTGTTCTCTTTCTTCTTCTGTTTCTTTTTCACTGGGCTCTTGTCCAAGCCATCATCCTAGAAAATCAGTCACGGCACAGTCAAAGCTGGAGTCCTTCACCTCACATACACATTCTTCCATAAAACATGCATCTTTGAAAAGCAAGCATTTGTTGAGATCCATCCAGATTTGTCCTCACACCTCTTTAACCCGACAGCAAGATCGGTGCTACAATCCACCCAAACAACCTTGAACAAGAAGGCATAAAAATTATACGAGCCCCTGGCAGACTTCAGATAAGCACCACTTTCCTATGCCAGTTGTGCTGGAGAACACTCAGTCCATAAGGCAGATACTGATCAGAACATGAACAAAAAGCCTTAGACTACAAGCCAAACCACTCAATGACAGAAGGTTTTCTAAGCAACAGTGTGACCTTGGTAAACTCCAGCTTCACCACTGACTGATATACTGAAAAGGAGAAGGAAACAATTCTTCTTTTTCTTCTTTATAAGGGCAACAGATTTTGTCCTGAGACCACCTTTCCTGCAGGTCAGCACGTGGACGTGTGGCCCTTCTAGCATCCTCCCCAAAGCACCACAAGTACCGACCTAAAAAAGCAGGTGGTAAAAGGCACTTCTTCCACCTCAACACCTGTGCTATTTTTTTTGTCAGCTTGCTAGTCTCTTGTGGGAATGCACTCTATAGCTCCTCTTGACTCCACAGGACATTTGCCAGGGGTGCTTCTCAACTTGAGTTTCCATAGTAACAGTACAGCTCAAGGAAACCTGCTATCCAAGCTGACTCACCTTGACTTCACCTTCTTCTGACTGGTTGTCTGAGTGCCGAGGAGGGGAGAGTTCGTTCCCATGCTCATCTTTGACTTTGGGAGCCTTGTTCTCTTTCTTTATTCGTGGTTTCCTCTTCTTTAGCTTGCCCTGGAGAGAAGACAGAACAAGTCAGAGCAAGCAAATACCTTCAGCTGCTTCCTAGAGGCATAGCCCATCTCCTGAACAGCTGCAGGTCCTGCAGGGTGCCAGGATGCCTGAGAAACCACAGGAAAGCTTGGCGGACCACATACAAAATTAGACAAACAAATATCAGCCAGAAAGAGGAATTGCTTGTGAAATTTAAGAGGCCAAGGGAATATCTCAAACATCTATAGACTGGTGTATATGGACCAGTGACAGTGAGGTAGCAAGGATGAACACTACCCAATTCCCACTGACACCAGGTATTCTGTGCATGTTTACCAGAGCATATCACGATGCAACTTCCATGTGGGAAAAAAGGAAAGCAAAAAAAATATATGTTGTTTTTTTTTTTCTAAGACAATTTACGTTCTGTTTGAATAGCCTGAAGTGCCCCTTGCTGAGAATCGAGGGAGTTTTCAGCACACAGACTTGTTTATTCCATCACCTCTCAGAAATAGCTTACTAAACAGGGCATGAGGCATCCTGCTCTCCCTCAGTGGTGTGCACTCAACTTGCAGAGTTTTGGGTTTTTTTTCCTAAGTGACAAAAGTTGAAAATCTAGCATTAGAGCATTAGGAGTTAGAGTGCCATACTGCAGTCCTTTGGTAATTGCAGTAACTAATTACTTGTCCCCCACCAATTATCACTTCAGCATCGCAAAGCAATCAGACAGCAGACAAGCCAATATGCTTTCATGTAGGACAGACTCAGTGACCTAGTCACACGAGCTTGACTCCTACTAGCAACCAACCCCTCGTCCTGAAAAGCCCTGAGCCAAGCAGCTGTGTCTCACCTCTTCCCCATCTTTCATGTTTTCTTTCTTCTCCAGATCCTTCTTCAGCAGTTTCAGTAGATAATCCACTCGGGTCTGGAGCTGTTTTCCCTGAGGTTTCTTATCTGTCTCAACAGGTAGGATCTTTGATAAAGAAGAAAAAATATCTACATTTACATGTACATATCAAACCTTGGCAAAAGAACTACACACTGGCACAACTCCTTTCAGGTGCAGCAAATGGCTGGAGATGCTGCACCTTCTAGGGGGAATGACAAAGCTCAAGCATTTCCACCAACCTCACACAGAACTTCACACAGACTCCCCCTGTCTATCCATAAGCAAAGCACCAAGCAAGAGCTGGGGCATTTTGCAGGAAAAAGGATCCCAAGGCAGCAATCTAGATTCTCTACAATCTTCGATGTGCAAAGAAAAAAAAAAAAAGCCCTGCAAAATGCAAGTACTTGCATTGCAGTACTGAGTCCACTCACTTTGATTCACTAGACTCTCTCGTGACAGCCTTGTCAGAGCAGCCTTGTCCCCTCTGATGGCCTCAGACACTGGTAAAGCAACTTTTATTGGAAAACAAGGCTGCAAGGCACTGCTTTGTGGAGGACGTATTTCAACTTACCAGCTAAGGTTACTACTGGATGGTGTGTCTCAGGAAACTGTAAAACTCCTTTTCTGAAACTTCACATAGGAAGGATCTCAACCACAGTCTGATCTTTGCTAAAAGCACTAGAGGGGATGTCGTGGTAATGAAGCATATTGGCAGCCAAGTGTCCCAGTGTTCCTCAGTCCAGTGCTGCAGTGCACACTCCTTCCACGGTGCTGACACAAGGGACGGCTGCTTAGTTGTAACCAGGTTCAACGTGGCCCTTAAAAAGAGCTCTTGTGGGAATGACTGAGGAACAGAGGAACTAGACAGAGGCTTTCCAGCTGGCTTTGCTGTTGCAGCCACTCATGGAACTACACCCTCGAAGCCAACACAGACCACTCCTGACATAAGCAGTGTAAAATCTGTGAAAAACAGCTTCCAAACAGAAATTCAAACTCAGCTCCTCGTGAGACACTCGAGGAAATATAAGTCACAATTATGCAAAGCACTCTCTATACTGTGCATGGAACCACATATGTCAGCATTACTATTTTCCTCCTGCATCATTTCAGTGTGGCGCATATGGGACTGTTCAAAGAAGATTTACTGCCAATCAAATCAGACAACTCTGCTTTCCATCAAGCATGCAGCATTCCACAGAGGTTGCCGTTTTCCTTGTTATTATTTATTGTTATTTTTGGACTGGCTACAAACAAACATCTGTTTCTGGACTAAATCAAATGTGTTCTCTACGAAGACTGTAATGGACCCAATATAAGCAACATGCAAAACCACCTACCTTATCAGATAACTTCAATTCCGGATCTGTTTTAATTAGTTCCCAGTTTCCATAACCATGCTCGTAAATTCCCACTAACAAGCGAGAATCTTCCTCCACTCCCCAGTCTACATCAAAATGGGCAGCTTTGACACGGCACGTCAGGCGGTACCTGAAGGCATTGCAAACATGAGCTGCTCTTAATGCTGCAGGGCTAAAGCAAATCCACATATCTAGGCTAGTTTCTTTCCACTACAAAATCCAAATTCCCCGAGCCTCTTTCTGTGTTGCCCATTTAGCCCTTCACACTCACTTCTTCCTTTCCTCTGGGTCTGCAGGGATGGATTTATGCAGCATTTCAAACTCCTCTTCATGCTGGATGATGGATTTCACATTCACTTGGACACCAGAGATCTTGATGGTAGGACCTCTTCTTTTCCCAGGTCCTTTCCCTGCTTAGTAACAAAACACAGCAACTAGGAATGGATGTTTTTGTGTGGAAAAAAACAATGCCTAGACAGACACAGAGATCAACACCTTACTCACAGTTTCTTTAAACAAAATCTGCTAACGTAGGTTCCCAGTATAAGTTATCATTATCAATTCACTTAGATCTGCAACTGAAGCATCCCTCACCTTAAAAATACATCTAAGTATGCTGGAGCGTTGCTTCAGAAGTTTTACACATCAGAAGCAGCAGAGACCTTGTGGGAAATCCAGCCCTGCATCCCCAAATCCCTGTGTATCTCCGTTGGCAACAGCTGCCTGGTGGAGATGGGATGATTTAAGAAGCTGCAATGTGGGATGGCCACCCCGTTCAGCACCAAGGGAATGGCTTCTCATCATCTTATCACCAAAAACATTCTAACTGCAGCAATGCTCTCACTTACTTTCACCTGGGTTTTCTTTCAGCTGCTCCTCATACTCCTGCATTGCTGACACACAGCTGTTGTGGATGAGTTCCCCTAAACGCTTCAGATCAGCCACAGACTTATCCACCAGCTCAGCATCCCTGGCAATGCACTCCAGCCTGGGGAAGGGGAAAAACAAATTGCAAGTTTTATATTTTATGTAGCATTTCTTATCCCAGTCGCTCCCTGAGCAATTTGATTGTCAATGAATGCTGTGTGTGTAGGAAGGTGTGAAACCTTCATGAGTGGGACTGGCACAGGTTTTAGTCCTTTTTTCAGTTCTGACAACTGCAATCCAGTGTAGATGTAGCGTAACAGAGCCAGTCCTTCATCTTCTTTAGTGTTAAAGCAAAGGTGAGAACTGTCCATCTGTGGCACAACCAGCACACTGACTGTCCAGTGTGCTTTTATGCCCCCCTCCTCAGTGCTGCCTTAGCTCCATTTGGTGGTCAAAAGCTGCCATCTGCTGTCTCTTTTGCCTGGCTGAATTTCACAACATCGAGGCCCATACAAACCTTGCATTTCACAACCAAAGAGTACAACCAGCTGAAAAAACAGTCATTTCTCAGACAACACACGCAAGGATTCCTGCTCTGGCTCCGAGACCTCAGTCAGGGTGCCAGCTTAGCAGACCCACCACATGCACACGTCTCCTTTTATTCATGCTGGGGCACAGCACTGGGCTGTGCAGACCCAGAGTTGGGGGCAATGTCTTTCCCCACATCCCTTCAAGAGGGAGAAAGATGCTCCACATTCAATCTGGAATTTACGCAGGTTGCTCTGAAAGTAATGCCTCCTATTTATTTCCATGGAAACAACAGATATAAAGAGCACAGCAACACCATTTGACATTGCAAATCCTCAGCTACAGAACACTGTTCTTCAGCACTGTCACAACCATTAGCTATGCATTTTTGCCAGCAAAGAAAAAGAGCTTGCATGTCATGCTTGTAAAAATCTGCACCAGTGGAGGTGCACAAAGTTTCACAGCTGTAATTGCTAGGAGAACATTGCCATGCAGTCCATCTTTCATCAGCCTGTACAGATGGAAGTCAGAAGGTGCCAAATCCAGACTATACAGTGGGTGTGGTAGGACAGTCTAGCCAAGATTGGCAATGTGCTCCAATACCACCAAACTGGCACAGGGCCTGGCGTTATCCCTGTCTTCTTCTCTGGCCTGACTCAGGAATTTTGAGCCTTCAGCTTTGTCAGCACTGCAAAGGAGCAGTCAGAGTTGATGGTTTGTCTGGGCTCCAGGAAATCCAGAAGGATCACGCCTTTCCTCTCCCAAAAGACACTGCACATCCCTTCATCCACTGAGGCCTTGTCTTGAAATTTTTATTGGATGGAGAATTTCCATGTCAACACACCGTGGCTGCTGTTTTAACTCCAACCCACAGTGGTGACACCAGTAACAATGTGATCCAGTAAACTGTCACCTTCAGCCTTGTATTGATCCAGTAGGTCCTGGCAAACTTGCATACAGTGTCCTTTCTCTGTGAGCATTCCAGTACCCACTCTGCACAAACTCTGTGATATTCCAACATTACCACCATCATTTCCACTGCAACGAAGCCAGTACTCAGCTCTGTACGTAGTTCCCTCATCATAATCTCCCAGTTCATAGGAAAGTTCAACCTCTACTGCCCTACCACCAAGACCTGCCTCTGACATCAGTGGCCAACATCATCAAATAGGAGAATTCCTTTTGCAGCAGCCCTTGTAACATGTATGGAGAAACTTGACAAGTGTTTGAGGTTACATTTGCTGTTCAGACAGCTGCTCCTGCTTCTTCCAAGGCAGGATGGAAATGCCCCGAGGGCCAGATTCTGCCAGCAGCACTAGTGCTCCAGCTGCTCTTTGGGCAGCATTCATCACTGCCCACCAACTGAGACATGAAAGACCATATGGCAGCATTTGGGTTACTGGAGCACATGACAGCAAACTTGCTGGTCTCTGTGCTGTCAGGTGAGGCTGACAAACACTTATGTGTATGGCAGAGCTCAGAAACACAACATTTCCCCCATGATAACCCTTTGGAGAAAGGTCAGGTTGAGACTCACCGCTCAAGAGGCAGTCCAAACTTCTTGTAAGCCTTGATAAACCTAAGAACAAAAAAAAAAAAAAAAGGGAACTAAAGCAACTGCCATAAAACATGTGTCCAATATCACAAATATGCTTGGATATATTAATTACAGCCTGTCGTATTATCAAGCTCGCATTCCACACTGATTAGCTAAGCATCACTCAGGACTGGGGAGCTTAATCCATTAACCCCCACAAAGAGTTCTGTGACCTCAGCTGGAGAAGAACAGAATGTTGTTATGAATGTCAGATGTTTGACAGATGACAAGAACGAGGAGAGACAACTGTAGTGTAAAAAAAAAAAATAGAAGAAAGCATTAGCTCTCACCGTATGGGTAATTATTAACTTCAATTTCCAAGGATTCAAGAGGCACTAAATCAATGTCATTAGTAATTTTAAAGCTCAGGCTGTAAGTGTAACAACCTCTTGCAGAACAGCCAAACGTGGTGCAATCCATCACACAGCCTTGCAGACAAGAATTGCTATTTATGTTTACTTCTTACTTTTTATTGTGGAAATCACTGCCATTGTTAACGGCACCTTCAAGGCAAGAGTCAGGCACTGTTGCTGCAACTGAACAGTGCTGTGTGCTGGAACTAGACTCAATGGCTTCAACTAACAGATTATTTTTAAATGAGCTACTTTTTCCCTTCTTTTTTTCCATCTTTTCCTCTTTCAGCTACAGCACTTTAACTAAAACAGCTGTTATAGGTCACGTTGCAACACCTCTTTCCTCTTCAATGGTTTCAGGGCTGCATATAGGGCATCTGCCACAATGCAAAAAGGTTTAATATCTGCCTTTTAAAAATACATTTATTGGAGACAGAAGCAACGAAAACTCACAAACCCTTTTCTGTTTCTGGCTAAACCTCTGGGCACAGCCATAAGACAAAGGGCCCGAGGGAAAGGCTTGAGAAGGAGAGGAAAATATGAGAAGAAAATAATACTTTGGAATTCAGCCCCCAGCTGACTCCTGGGACGCGGTGCAGCAGAGGATACACTGTTGCTCTGATTGACTGGACCACTGCTTCTCATGGGGTTCATTCTGCCAGGCAGAGCCTGCCTTTCACTCAGGCTTAACTCATCAGGACTACTGCCAGAACAACGTCAGTACGGCCAGAGTCCTTGGCTTCTCCAGCGCTATCTCATGGCACTTAAGACTCATATGTAACCCAGAATCCACACAGATCGGGTTGGACAGCTGCCTCAGGGATGGATTCTAGGAAGGTACCAGCTTGACTGCAGCCTAAACGAAGACGTTCCAGCCCATTTTGCTCAGATGTGAATATTAAAGTCATCAGCCAGCAGCAAACAGAACTGGACAACAGCGCGGAAGCTGTTCCAAAGAACTAGCTTCATATACATTACTGATATGCTTACATCTGAACTTCTCTTAGATTACCTGGGCAGTTTCAACACCTGTGTGGGGTTTCTATACTTGTTTACTGAACCATCCCTGTTGCTCAGCACTGACCTCCGGATTTCAGCATCAGTAAATCCTTCCACAGTATCCTTTCGAACGCTCCGAGGACGTCCACGGCGCTTTGGTCTCTTCTCATCATCGGTATCATCAGTCTCACTTTCTGACCCCGATGATCTCTGAAGCCTTCTCTTAGTCTCTGCATCTGATTCACTATCATTTGTTTGAGCCTGTATGCAGCAGAAGGATAGCAGGGCTGTTTAACTGCTAATCTGCCAATCTTTTCCATACCTGCCGTGCACTGGCACTATTTTATGTTGAATCAACTCAGCACCAATCCCTGAAGATGCAGACCACGTAATCACACCAGTAAGTTTGTGCATGCTTGCCATTTCTGGCTAGCTAAGACTCCCATGGTCATCCTTCCTTTACAGCCTAGTTTCTCAACTGCATTTTGATTTACTAAGGTATAAGACCTTAATTTTCCATAGTTCTGTGCTATAGTACCCTAGGCTCCTTGGTATCTGGAGTATTTTGAAAACCAAGACACCCGTAAAGTGAGGTGCAATTCCCTTACTGCAATCACACAAATACAAAGTATCCTTCTTTAGCTTCCACTTTAAACCTTTTCCTCATCTTATCCCCAAGAAGAGCTCACAACCTCTCCAAGTCCTGTATCTCAGCAGTTTCACAGACTGCTTCCTATTGGATTCGGGGAGATCACATCACCTAAAAACAAACTTAGGAAGATGGTATCTCTTTGCTCTCAAGAGAAACATTTAGGTAAGAACAGCTACAGAACCTGAGAGAAAGAAACGTACTGAAAACCACAAACTTCAGTAGGGTCTGCAGTGATTGAGTGTAGTTATTTTGCCCTGTGCTCACTACAGGTTTTCTGTGTCTAGCCCAGCATGAGTTGTACCAAATCCAGTGTGAGCTCCTACACTGCATGACGAACCACGGGTCTAATGCTTGATGCCAACAAGAGGCCAATGTGACTCTGCGGGTCACCCCTAACCAGCTTTGGAGAAGGGGCAGAAGCACAGGAAAGCTTCCCCATAAGCACTGCCTTTGCCAGCTTTGGCCTCCAGCCCCTCAGCTCTTGGAGATATGCTGTACCTTTTTCGTTGAGCTCCGGATGCGAGGCAGCATGTAGATTTCCTCCAGTTCTTTCTGCCTTTCTTCCTCCTCCACTTTTTTCCTCTGCTCCTCGGGAATGATATCGTCCCAGTCCTTCTGGGGCCTCTCATCCAGCTCTGTCTCTTCCTCCTCCATGGTTGCAAAGTTAGCCACCTTTTATAAGCAAAGAAACGCTTTCAGAAATTCCCTCCCCTGGCAGGAATACCCCAGAGCTGTCTGCTAAGCTTCAACTTCTTCTCCAGAGGAGTTTTGCCAACGTTTCCATAATTACTATATAACTGATCCTTATGTCACTACATTCCTGGTTCTTTGCCACGTCTTTGGGCTAACAACTCTCGAGAAAGTACGTGCAGTTTAAAAAGTACTGCTGAGCCTAAGTTATCGTTTTTGTTTCCAAATTTGGTAAATTCAGCATTTTATTCACAGCCTTCAAGACCACATAAAAGGAAATGAATACCTACACATCTGCCCAGCTACTAAGTCCAGGCAGCCCCTCAGAAAGCTGCTTTGTACAGAGCACCCCTCACTGGGCCTGATTTGTTCTGTTTGTTCCTGATCCCACCGTTATGGGAAGACATGGGGAGCCACGCTCCTGCACCCCACTACAATGGTGTCTACCTTGAACTGTGACAGCAGCTCATCAGTGGCACTGGTGGACACTTCATTCTCTCGTGTTTCAGCCAAGCGCAGAATTTCATCAATGTCCATCTCCTAGCAGTCAGAAAGGAAAGCGTGTCAAAGAGAACAGAGGAACAGAAGGCTTTGAGAATAGACTTACAGGGTGCAATAGCTAAATACTGATTGTGCTGATATGTCCTAAATGAAGCTCTAACACCTGCAGGGTGTCATCAGTGAGGGGCAGGAATGAACTATCTCAAGTGGTACAAAAGCATATAAAAACAGTGATAGAAGAAAAAGAACATCAAGGCTGAGCAGCAGGGAAAATTTTCCAGCAGTGAGATGTATAAACTCTTTCCCTCAGGGGTAGCTCTGCTACTTGAGACATGAAGAGAATTGGTCAAAGCACTGAATAATAAACTCCCTAGCACTGCTGTGATGAGAAAGGAGGGAGTGACCTATTTGACTTCATTGTGCTGGCTCTAGAGTCTCCATGAGAACAATCCAAAAAGAAAGAAGCTGGAGGTGCTCAGAGGAGACACGGAGTGAAGCTTTCCTCAAGCTGTGCTATAACTAACTCAGGAATCCTAGGGAGCCCTGGGACTCTCCTGGTGACCACTGTTATTTAACCCCCAACAACAGCCCCTGATCCCAGCACCAGAGCTCTCTTCCTTCAGCTTCCTAGGACTCCCATGCACGCTATTCACCAACTTGCTCTTGTGCATAGAGAAAATACAAAGAGTGAGCAGACATAAATACATCCCCAGTGCAGACCTGCAGAGGACTACCGACAGCGATGTTATTTCTATTTCAAACTACCTGAGGCTCTGACTCTTCTCCTTCAAGCTCCTTGAAGAGATCTTCAGCTCCAAACTTCAGAATAGCTGTCAGCTCTTCTTTGTTGAAAGGATTTGAACTGCAAACAGAAAGAGAATGAAGAAGGGTTTAGAGCTGTTAAGTCAGCTGTGTCACAGCACAAAGCCATTCTAAAGTTTTTCCCATTTAAAATGAGGAGCAAGATTTCTCCTCAGCGCTCATCTCTTTCCTGCTCTGGCTTGGAGAGCTACTGTAAGGGATACAAGCCCCATCTATGGAGAGGAAATGGGGAGAGTCTGAGGTCATTGACAAAACTCTGTTCCATGCTGCCACCACGAGCTTCTCTCAGACCAGGATGGTCTCTGGTGGGAAGAGGTAAAGAAAAACAAGCAATGCATTTCAATTTCTGATCATCTTTATCTTCGATGTCCAAATTAATGATTGTGTGAGGCAAAACAGTGGAAACTCCCACTACTTATTAGTGAAAGCTCTCTTCTGCCCCATACCCAATCAAATCAGCAGATATCAGAAGGTGAAGCTGGTTATGCCACGTGCTCTATCAGATGTGTCTGCCTCCTGACACAACCACCTACTTGGATCGCCCAGAGTTGTTGTCCAGAACAGTCCGTCCAGTGGTGTCCATACGCTGGATCACCAAATGATCCAGCACCATTTTCTTCTTGGCCCTTTCAATGATCTCCTCCTCAACTGTACCCTTTGTGACCAGGCGGTAAATATTCACCTGAAGGGCAAGAGAAGAACAGAGCTATTTTCCAGGACCTGAACACACTGTGCTGACACAGTGATGCATCCCTGAGTTTCAGAGGAGACTCGTCTGCTGACACACTACTTTCATGCACAGATTTGCCTCTTTAGAATAAAGACAAGCACATTCTTTTGTCTCAGGGGGACCACTTTAAATCAGGATGCTTAACACATATCTTGTAGTGTACAAAAGGCAAAGTACAAATCTACTGAAAAAAATCGCACTAAATCCTAATGAGCATCAAACTTTCCACATCTGAAATAAAACTCTAGGAAAAAATGGATATTCTATCTAGCAATTTTTATAGGGCAAGAAAAAGCAGGACTATGTGAGGCTAAGAAACGTGGTGCCACTGATGGGGTTCTTCATTCAGAACCATGCCAGGACTAAACATCAACAGAAACATCTAGCGGTGTTGGGCTGACTTTTCGTTTCCTGACCTTTAAGTGAGTTTCCCTTGGGATAACGTTGCTCTACAACCAGGACCTGGGGCAAAAAGACCATGCTTTCACAAGTTCTAGTGATGTAGATGCTCTCTTAAATGCACACACTGAAGCCACAGAGAAAATGACTCGAGGCAACTCTTCTGACCTGCTTCTTTTGTCCGATGCGGTGAGCCCGAGCCTGAGCCTGAAGGTCATTCTGGGGGTTCCAGTCCGAATCAAAGATAACAACAGTATCAGCAGAGGCCAAATTAATTCCCAGCCCTCCAGCTCGTGTTGACAGTAAGAAACAGAAATCCTGGGGGAAAAAGCAGCAACAACTAAGTTAGCCAGCCTATCACCATGGATATAAGGTAGAAATGGTGACTATGAAGTCACACAAGGACATCGAGGGAGGCTCTGGTGCGTCCGTACTTCATTCAAAGAGAAGGAAAAGGCTGAAAGCCAAGGCACAAAGTGAGGAAGGTCAGGTGAGGGCACCTTGGAGTCACTTCTGAAGGTCAGATCACACTGCACATCAGATCCCCACGAAGGCAGCAGACAGACACGTGCTTTTGTTGTCTGCAGTCTGTTGGGGGTGAGATCAGTTCCAAACACGGGATGTTTGAGTCGCTGCCCAAAGGTACAGGGTGCCAAGACAGAATCAGGATTATCTGAGAACCCCCAGGAGAGGAGAAAGAGCAGCTTCCATGGACAGTCCTCCTCCCTTCTCTCCCACCCGCACTTCTGTCTTCTCACTTTTATTTATTAATTCCCCACCGTCACACAGCACCCTCTTCATCTCCTGTGCCAAACAAGAGCGCAGGCTCCTGGAGTGAGGACAGACATTTCCCATGGCAGGGGGATGGCATACGAGTGCCTTGCACCAGTCACTGTGAGTCAGCAAGCCTAGACAAGAGGCTCAGCACGCCCTCTCCTATTGCAGCAGAGACTTTCACCTCCAATGCCAGACTTCACTGCCTACCTAGTCTTAAAATCTCCCTTCTGCCTCTGCCATTTCATATCCACAAACAACTGCAGACTGGAGGATTTATTTAGCAAGTGGCTCATACTTCAGACCATAAAGAGAGAATTGCTAGATTCTGGCTCTTCCCAGCCTCTTTGGCACTATCTGGAAATCTGCCTTGCAGCCCCTTTCTTTGGATGTGGGAGATTTGAAACAAGCGATATGGATGACTGCAAAATGTGTTGTGTCTGCATTGAAAAGGGCCAGGTGTTCTGTAAGAAGGAATGAACTGAGCTAATTCCCTCCTGCCACCCACCAGACCCCTCTGGAGGCAGGGAGGACCCATCTGCCATACCTCAGAGCCGTCGGCGTTGAAGTGGTCCAGCGCCTGCTTTCGGATCTCCCCTTTGATTGAGCCGTCTAAGCGCTGGAAGAAAAAAACAAACCAGCAATAATAATTAAAAATAAAGAAGGAAAAGAGCCCCGTAGAGCTGCTGCAATCAAGTTCTGGGAGCCTGATAGCCCCAGCCTGTAGTGTTTAATCATTAAAAATAGCCACCAATTAAAAATAGCTACACTGTGTTGCGAGGGCAGGAGGTGGTATGCTCAGGCAGCAGTCACACAGCAGTGACGCTCCAGCTCCTGTTACAGGCCCCCAGCCAGGATCTCTGCATTCTCTATCCTCTCCTCAGGGCTTATTACAGGATGAAGGCCAGAGAAGGAGCCCAGCAGAGGATGGGGCTTTATTTACTGAGATTGTATGCTGGAAACATGCCCCACGCAGCAACCTTCAAGCAGTGACAGAAGTCCAGAGAAACAGCAAGAAAGATGGCATGTCACTGTGAGTCAGCATCAATTGGATGGAAACAAGCTGCACAGGATGCAATAGCCACCTCAGATAAAAGAAATGCAGATAACAGCATCTCTAAATAGCTTCAGAGAGCCAGCAAGGGAAGCAAGCTTCAGTGTTGAGCTGTCTGTACAAAACAGTGTGCTGGTACATGCAGGGAGATCTGCATCCGAGGGCTTTTGACATAAGCACATCAGTTGACCTCAGCTACAGAGATAGATCATGGACACGAGTGTTTCTGTCAGGCAAGGTCCGAACCACAAGATGGTTGTTCAGTGATTAACACCCACCAATAAATGTTTGAATCCATTGTGCAGGTTTATGCCAATCTTTTTGATTCTCACTTTGTACATCACTACAGAGACTGTTGTAAGAGCAGCCTCCATCTGCAGCTCTCAAAGGACGTACCATTATCCTCATTACAGACAGCAAAACATCTACAAAGAGAGATGTGCCGTGCCCAAGAAGCATCAGACACAGTGAGGCATCCCACGCTCTCAGCTGGCTTCTGCCTCTCCATACGTTCCCTTCCTTGAGTGCCACACTGAAACGAAAGGACTTTCCAGTTCCATTCAGTGCATTTCAGTAAGAGCAATCTGTAATCCATCCACCCTTAGGGACGCAAGGGACAGCCTTAGAAGCCAAGTGTCTCTCACTGCTCAAGCTCCCTCCCTGTTTTCTTGAATTTTCAGGTGAAGCCCACATGCTATTCCTCACCTGGAAAGGATAGTGTTTGATAGTCAGGTACTCTGCCAAGATGTCCAGCATCCTCACCATCTGGGAGAAGATCAGGACTCTGTTGCCTCTGTCCCGCAGCCTGGTCAGCAGCTTGTCCAAGAGAATTAGCTTTCCACTGCTCCTGATCAGAGACTGAAAAAGTAACCGTCATTCCAGCTGGTGCTTTCCAACCATACTCCTACGTACACTAGAGAACTGGTTTTTTGGGGGCCATACTTCTCTTGTACCTCTCTAATCAAATCATCTGTGCTTAGACAGCAGAAGGCGCAGACACGATAAATCACCCAAGATAGTTCTCACACTGCATTCACCTGCTGCTCAAAATGGCCAAAATGTTCTGCTGTCAGTGTATGAAAAGGGCGGGAAATTCAGTGACTCAGTTGTGATGACAGATTCCCATGGTCAGAAGCAAAAGCTTCACCAGATCTTATGTTGGAGGGAGAATGGCAGGAAGTAGAAAACAAAGGAAAAATGAAGCTAAGCAATGTCTCTGCCCACCTGCAGGGTCTCAATGCCATTCTCTCTCTCATTTTCCTCAGGAGGCTTGATAAGGTAGCAGTGGTTGCAGCACTTCTTCAACTCCATCACGATGTTTAGGAAACCAGATGTGCTTCCTCTTGTTCCCTTTGAAAGAGCCTTGTAGTTTCTTGTCAAAATCCACCTGCAGACAGGAAAATAAACAGATCAGATCATTTCACAGCGCAAAGCAGGCCTGCTGGAGCCCGAGATACAAAACCTTCAGGGACACTTTAATTCAAGCATCTGTCTACACTCTTCCCCAGCACAATTCCGTGCTGAGCTTTACTCTGCCAAGATACAGTCCCTGCCCTACAAAGCTGGCCAGCTGAATTACTATGATGCTAGAAAAGCACATCCAGTAGTCCAGAGCTGGAGGGGGAGACACCACCCAACCCTACCTTGCACTCCTACTGGAAAGACCTTCCTGCCACAGGTGTTGGCTGCCACACTGGTGCCTTCTGAAGGACACAGCATGCTGTGTCCTATATATACTGTGCATATTCCCAAGTCACAAAGAAAGATGCGCCCACTTCTGCTGGTACTCCCAGTAACTTAATAAATGACTCACTTGTAATACTGCTTCTGCAAAGCAGACATTTCCACACGGAGGATCTGCTCCACTTTGGCTGGCAAAGATTTCTCCACATCCTTCTTCACTCTGCGTAAGAGAAACGGCTCCAGGACTTTGTGAAGGCTCTGGTAGCCATTCTCTCTACCTTTTCCATGATCTTCTTCAAAATCCTCCCAGAACTCAAACCTAGTGACAGAGATGAGTAATAGAAAGGAGTTAGAATATCTTGTCTTGTGGTACCAAGCAGCATGTATCAAATATGCTAACACTACACAATGAGATGGGAGACCATCGAGTTGATGTACGTACAGTGAAGGATAGAAAGTTCGCTTTTCTCTGGCTAATTGAGCAGATTGGTGGCAAAGCTAGCAGCTCTCCGGGTGTAAGTACCTCCAAGTATTTTATTTTTGAGCTTCACAGTTCCACATCAACCTTCCAGGACCCAAAATCCCAGGTTTCCCCAATATTTACTCTGATGTCACCTGCTAGGATTTACCTAGCAGCAGTTTCTGAACTTTCCACAGAGCCCATCCTTAGGCAGGGTTCTGTCAACTGGATTTTGTTTTACACTGCTCAGATTACTTTTTTGGACTGCTGATTTCTCTAACTCCTCTGAAATGTGGACATCTGTCCTTCTCCACCTGGGAGACCTCAGATCTTTCCTTCGCTTCTTCTGTGATCCAACAAAGAATATGGGGAACAGCTCCTTCTGTAGTCAAACATCATCTGGATGAGTTTGGGGACATGCCTGTCTTGGCAATGCACATTACCTGTTTTGTTTGTAAGAAAACATCTGTTATAATGTGGACAAGCTAACAATCAGCTAGGCAGTGCTGTCTTTGAGAAATACTCCCAGGGACTGCCATAAAACATTTAGTGAGAACAGCTGAAACACCATGTGCTGGGAAATTCAGAAATGGCTGAGATGATTGCTTAAAACAAGTTCAGCTTTTTAGAGATGGCACTGAAAACAGCAGACAGATTTGAAAGACGTGTTTTAAGTTTCTTCACTGAACTTGCTGCCAGAAATCCTCCTTGTGTTAGTCATTTAAACTCTGCTTTTCCTCACCAGTGTTTGCTCCCCTTAAGCTGGTCTAACTCCACTGAGCTTAATTCAGGGATTTCTGCCATTCTGCTCTCCTTCAAGTTTATTCAGTGGCCAAGACAAACATACAGAGGTATTTTATGAAGCACCAACAGGAGACTTACTTCTCAGGCATGATGAAATGCAGCAGGGACCAGAGCTCTTTGAGCGAATTTTGAAGCGGAGTGCCAGTGATCAGCAGCCTGTGGTTGGACTTGAAGTCAATCAATGTTTTGTACAGCAAAGAGTCATCATTTTTCAAACGATGGGCTTCATCCACGCCTAGAAAGGCCCAGCTAATACTTCCCAAAACAGCCTGGAGGAAAAGAAGTGTTCTCCATCACCACAGAAGAAAAAGAGGTGAAACCCACTAGTCAGTGGCTGGCTTCCCCATTTGCAAGAGAGGATCTAAATAGAACACCCCTGGAGCTTTACCCACCTTGTCTTTGAGGAGAATCTCATATGTGGTGATAAGTGCATTGAATTTCAACCTTTTAGACTGAGAGTGGATCCACTCATATTCACGTATCTGCGAGAAACGACAGATGTTACCATCAAGGAATATTATCAAAGAGTTAACAATCATTTTACTGTAGCTACAGCTAGGATCTCCAATCAAGTCCAAGCTCTATTGTTCAGTGTATCATTCGATGAGCAAAGGGCGTCCAAGGAGCAGCTTGTTTTAGGGCACACATGGTTTTTACACAAGTTTAGACAAGCAACAAAATTAAGTCAAGCAACTTGCTGTTGTGACATTACCCCATCATCTCACTGACGCCACCAGGCTCACAACACGTTTCGGTTGCCCTGTCTGAATATTTCAGAGGACACTCAGCAGCCCCCATCAGCTGCTCCAGCAGAGAGCACGTCACACACATTACACGCTGCACAGGATAGCGCCCAGTGCTCCCATCCAACCCCACAGGCTTTGCTGTCAGATTACACACCATGTTCCTGCTCATGAGGTCACCGATGTAAACCACCACGTTGATCTCAGGTGCCCACACTTCAAACTCTCTCTGCCACGAGGTGAGGGTCGACAGAGGAACCACCACCAGGAAAGGACCGTACAGCTGGTGCTGGTGGAAGAGGTACGACAGGAATGAGATTGTCTGAATCGTCTTCCCCAGGCCCATTTCATCAGCCAGGATCACACTGTTGTTCCTGAGAAGGAAGAGAACAAACCTAAGTCCTGATTTAATGCGTCTGCATCATTTCAAGGCCGGTCAAAAACCTCACTTGAGAACAAGAGAGTCAGATCCCACTGGGACAAAGCTTAGGAGACCCACAATGAACACAGCTCATTTGCACCATTCGGTGTATGTACTTACTTGCACCACGAGTGAGCAAGCCAGTTGAGGCCCTCCAGCTGATAATCTCGCAGCTCCAGGTTCTCACTGCCAATATAAGAAGGCTGCTTCTTCAAGGCAACAAATCTTGGTCTCTGCTTCAGTACCTGAGGAAAACAATGCACCGTAAGCCCCCTGAAGAAAAGACTAGGTAAGGTTGAAAATTCAGCAGTTAAATCTGCAGAATCAGCAATGAGTGTAGATTGGTTTGTCAGTTATTGTCCAGCCACATTTTCTTATCTGCTTCTGGTATCTACAGTTCTGATGCCCCTCAGCACCGTTATGTTTTGCCTGCTGACCTCCAGTCCTGATGATCAGGGCTGAGTCCCCACAAGAGTGCAATAAGTTGTATATAATGCCTATTAGATGGAGCAAACTCCATTTTCTGTTTTGGCCCCTTCTGGTTTTTCTTCCATGTACTCCATCTCTCTCCCACACTGTATCAGCATCTTGCAGACCTCCTCTTCTCCCTGGTGTGCTGTTTTTCCGTTCAAGTGATATTAAAAATCTGCATTGCAAGAGCAGCATCTCTTCAGGAAGAAGCACTTTGCAAGGATTAATTAAAGTTCCCAATCCCCCATGCTCACCATGCCTCGAGTAAATGAAACCAAAAGGGGTTCACATCTCTGCCTAAAGTACAAGAACAGCAAACAACCATTCAAATGCTGGAGGAAAGATTGGAAAACACTCTCTGACGTTTATTCTAACAAAACTTCATATTCACACAGTTTGCTTCATTACCCAGCCTGGAGAAACAAAGCAAGAAGAGAGAGGAGAAGCAAGCAAACCTTGCAGTCCCGGGTAGGAATTGTTTTGGAGTTGTTACGGTTGTTGAAGCTGTCAATGCAGTGCTGAAATTTCTTGCTTATCAGAGCTTCATCTTCCCAGCTGCACTCTGCATAGGGCAGTCCCATCCACTTGCACAGGTATTCGGGGTCATTCGAGGATGTTTTGCGACTGTTTGCTGCAAAATATGCAAAAAAGTCCAAACCTCAGTTCTGTGGCTGAACCGCAAGTATGGTTCACAAGGGCAGTCTAATTCATCCCTACAAACACAGCACAAGTCTTGGCTAGTAGGAAATGTTTAGAGAGGCTGAAAATGGTCCTTTACCTGGAAAGTCAGCATGCCCTGTCGCAGACTTGCTGGTCTTCACAGCTGTGGTAGGAGACACAAAGGAAACAAGGGTTTGCTGTGCTGAGAGCCAGCAGGGGGAGCAGCACAAACAGAGCATCATGTGCTTTGATAAGAATCGTATGGAAATAGGTTGTACAGCTCTCTAGGCCAATTCCCAAAGCAACTGGATGCCAGCATCTCTGACTGACGTTGCTAAAATATTAGTGCAAAGTCCCATTTTTTATTTTTAACAAATCATGAAAGTCTAAACCCTGAGCCACCTTGCAGCCTAACCACATCCTTAACCACAGCGTCACAGAAAGCAGACCTGGAAGCAGCCAGGCCTGTGCTTCTGCAAACACCTTGCCTGCAAAGAACTGAGGTCAAAGAACTACACCAGCAGCAGCAACTTCAACAACCACCTGGAGAGTGAAATACATTCAATGCCATTCTACAGGGATACTGGAGGGCAAAGAGAAAGAGGAAGTTCATTCTGTCTTACTTCATCCCTTTACAAAAGTGTTGGATTCACTTACCAATTACTCTCTCCACGATTTGATACTGTTTGTTCAGCTCTGAAGCCAGCTCCTGTTGGCAGTTGAAATATTCCACATCTTCAGGCGATACCTTGGCCAGCCTAGATACCAAAAGAAAAACAAATTAGGCATTATAATGCTTCTGTAGTGTTGATGTGCTTACTGAGACCATGTATAGAAAATCTACTTTATTTTATGATTGTGAAACTAAGTCACTGAAGCAAACCACTGCTTATATGACACATTTCTTAATGCTTCCTAAAGCATCTCCTATGATAAAGCTTTACTGGGAAGCAAATGTTATAGATACTCATTGTTTCCCTGCTAAATGACTCCTTATTCTGCTGCAAGAATTAGTCACAAAAATGAAAATCAGTCAGGGGATGGAAGCTGCTGCTCCAGCTTTATCACTTTGGAAACACACAGAAGCTCTCTTTATAGTCCTTGAGGAGGTCAGACAAAAACTCACGTACAGACAGGCTCATCATTAACAAGGGTTGACAAGGCTGCCTTGACAAAGCCTGCAAAGCAAAATTCAGCAGCGTGTCCTGAGACGAGCCCTATTTCCCAGCACAGCTGCTTAGTTTAGCATGCCAGGTTTCACTGCTAACTAGGAGCCCCTGTATCACCTCCAGGGCCAGATTCACTCGTGCACCATTTAGTTGTTCTCAGCTACCCAACTCCTGAGCCTGAGAACTGGCAGCATTGTGAAGCTCTGCCTCTTCTCCCTTTCAATACCACAGATATCATTTCTATAAAGGGGGATGGTTCTACAGCAGGCAGAGAGAGAGAAAAGTGTTGTGAACTGAAAACGTTTGCTTTGGTTGGAATATGCTTAGCAAGAAAAAAAATGAATGTGTTCAGTCCTGACTGTGCGTACCTATGGCTAAAGAAGATTCACCCAAAGCCAGATATCACTGGTTGAAATAGAGCATACCATTGCTTGATCTCCTCCTCCTTTTTCTTGAAGTTCTCTAGTTTTTTCAGGCCCTTCACTTTCTGCTGTTGCAGGGACTCCTCGCTCTCCCATGTGCTGTGGATGTACGACCAGCCTTTCCATTTGATCAGGTAATGAACCTCTCCCTCATCCTTTTCAGGGTCAAAGTCAGCACTAGGGTTGCCATTAGCTTCAGTTGCATACACTGTGGTGGAAGCACCAGTGGCTGCAAAAGAAATCAGGCTGCAGTTGGTACCTTTGTTAAAAACCACTGGCCACGAACTGCATTGAAGCAGGAAGTCGTTTTTCTAACACATCCTTTGTGACAGCACAAAGAATGTCCTACAGATTCTTGAACCCAATGAGACAGGCACACAAAAGTTCTCCACACAACAGGATCTTTTTAAATCTCTATCATAAATGCCTTTTTTTTCTTTAATATAATTCAAAGGTCTCTTGAAAATATTCAAGACCATTCAGTTTTACAAAAACACTTTTGTATGGCTGTGAGAACAAAGCATCAGCTTTATTTCCCATTATGGCTTTGTCAATGGAGCTACAAAAACTGTTGCTACTGGAAGAGCTATTTTATCTTTTAAAGGGGAGAAAAACAAGAATTGCAGAGCAATGACTGCATCTTTAAAATAGTGTATACACTAAAAGACAGCTGCCAAGCAGATAAACTTGACATTTTAGGTTTTTCAATAATAGATCGTTTAAAAACAAAAACAAATAAAAAAACCTTCCAGAAGGGAGAAATAAAGAGGCAGGCAGGAAAGGGTGAAGAGCACTGAAATAACCCTGGGCCTCACTGGAAGGCTTCAAAATTGCAAACACGTTGGAGCAGTTGAAGAGAAACAGAGAGTGCGTGACTGAATTCAGAAATAGCCGACACACCTCCTTTTTTTCCAAGCCTGATGTCCAAGACTTTTTCAATAGTTTCACTGTTGTCTTCGTGTTCATCAGCCCCTTCCCCAGTCATCTCTATCAGGTCATCAGAATCCGTCTCAAAATCGTCGTCTTCCTTGTAACTGAACAAGACCAAAACCAAACTGGTAAAAAGCCCTTGACTCTGCCCAGAAACACAAGAATGGCTTCTTACATAGAGCACAGCAAGACCAGTATTTACCCTGGGGCTCAGTGCTTGTTCAGCACATGCACTGCTTAAGCAAGCCACCTCACACTTTTTGATACCTGACATTTTTGGCTGCTCTTCGTCGAGTTTGTCTCTTAGGAGTTTCACCATCTTCATCATCGTCGTCATCTTCAGATGACACCTGTCTCTTTCTCTTCTTCCCACGCTGGAGTTTGGGAGGCTTTTTAACATTGGTTTTGGCCATTGTTCTAAAATAAGTATTAGGAGAAAGTGTTTTACTTCAACATACTTTTTTTTTTTGAAGTCTTTAAGAACAAACACATCTCAGATATCAGATTCCCAGACATTTAGCCTGCTGTAACTACCACAGAAATCACTACTCCACTCACTGGACAAAGCAACCAGGTCCACAGGCTTGTAATCAAAGGTAATGCTGAAGAAAACAAACATGCTTTAGGAGCAAATGGCAGCTGCCTCTCCACCCTCATAAAGGTAGGAAAGACACACAGAAAAAGATACAGACTGAACCAACCACTCCATACCTCCTTTGGACAGGTCTTTTTGCTTTAATTCTCTTCGGTTCAGGTTCGCTCTCTGCACTGGTGCCTTGATCCCCTCCATCTTCATCCTCTTCTTCACCAGAAATCTCTCTTTTCCACTTTTTTCTATGGTCAGAAAAGTAGCTGATCAAGGGCCACCATATTTCAACGCAAATACCTGACCAAGTAGGCACCCAACCCAACTGGGTTGATCCTAGCAGGCCATGATCACCACAGATCACCACTGCGCTCTCGCTAACAAGTTGTTGACTGTGATGTGTTGGGGATTTTAGGCTGTAATTCTCTCCTCTAGGAACAGGTCTGTCACCTGGATTTGGCTTAGCAGAGCAGCACGAGTGGCTCCTACCACGTGCTGTGGCAGGGCTGCACCCCGCACGGCCGGGCGTGCTTCAAGTTCTTCAGCTTTCCTTCCCACTCACGCATTTCTGAAATGAGGTGGGAAAAAAAAAATCTTCGGGGTGATTTTGAATAATCAGACATTTCTGAGAAGCGCTCGCTTCCGCTTACGGTTTACGACACGCACTGATGCACTTTCTCCTTGCTGCTCAAAACCAAGAGCACTGAGTCGCATGCCATTGAACTTCAGGCAATTAAAGCTTCCAGGGTGGAAGCCAAATCCCACTGTGCGTTCGTGGAAGGAAGCAGGTTCCACGTGGGTAGTTCAGAGCAAGACCTCAGCTCTGCAATGCCCCCTGTCTCCTAGGGGTACATTGGGAGTCCTTCCCTTGTTGCTGCCGCCCTCCCTGGCTTCTATTACCTCCCCTGTTGTGCTGCACTGCTGTACACAACACAATGAGAAATTAAAAGCAAGAAAGAGGAGAGAGGGAGCTGGATCACATAGCACTCTGCTGTGCTCGAGTTTTCTCCAGCAGGCAGCTCAGTAGGCCTCATCAGCACACTTCAGTGCTTAGGAAAACTGAAAGGTATTGATTGGATGGAAAAGGCAGTAAAAATAAGCGCATCTGGCCACTGTGATGAGATCCCCAAAATGTGTTAATGGGATGTTTTAACTTATCAGAGGGTTATGGGAGATTAACAAAACGAGTTGGCATTTTATTCTCCATTTCCTAAGGACGGGAAAGGAGTGAAGGTTAAACTATTTTAAGTGTCACTGAAGAATAAATAACATCATGAAGAAGCGAAAGACTGACAACAAAAAGTGAAGCTGGCTTCTTTAGATTTCCTGGACAGGCAAAATGGGAAAAAAAAAAACAGTGAAAATGTTGGAAAATTTCATCCATCCTAGGTTTACATTCATACTTGAATTTCTATCACCCAGAGTTTTATTACTGAAAATAGTAAATAATTCATTTTACAAGCCTTTCATGTTGACAATGTCTGTCAAACAAATAGCATTACTCTGAAAACCAATGAATAAATAATAATTCCACTATTCAAAACTCTTTTCCCTAGAAACTTACTTTCTTTTCACTTGCTTCTGGCCTCTTCTTTTTGGGCTCTCATTTTCAGATTCGCTACTTGCCTTTAATTGAAAAGAAAGAAAAATGAGGTTGTAGGCTTCACCCGGATCGTCTCCCCAAGGACACAGCTGGACACATGCAGGTGGGGTGGGGTGAGCTGAGGCACAGCTGCACCGCTCTCCCTGCAGCCAGAAGGATGCTCTGGGGAGCCATGAGGCTGCAGGAGTGCTGCCCACTGCCCCACACAGCTCCTGCAGCAGCTGAGCTCTTTTACAAGGCTGTAACTGAAAAGTGCAGTGGCAGAATGCAGAGCATCCATACTTGCCACGTCAGTATGAACCCAGTAATGGTCGGGGATGGATCAGACTGCGTTTCTGTGACTGCAGACCTACCTTTCACAATCACACAAATGCGTGACCAGCTCTACTCTCATTACAGAAGCTTTCTATACAGAAGGAAATTCTCCTAAAAGGACAACATTCTTATCACAAGGGTGTTCCCTGCTTTCCTGAATTTTTCTCCCACAGCCAAAGCAGCTGAGGAAGCAGATGGGTCAGACCCTGCCCTGCTGCTTTCCTTCCTGCAAGCAATACCAGCCTCCACCAGCAGACTCTCTAGCTAAATATATCGAGAGAGATGCTACGTCCTTGCTGAACTATTTTAAACGTGGGTGTCATCAACTCCCACTGGCTGAGAAATCTAGAAAAGCTTTGATGGGCACAACCCTATTTTTGTAAAAGCCAGTCCACCACAGAAACAGATCCCTGCACACGCAGCACCCCGAAACAAACAGATGACTTCGCCTTAGACACTTGCTACAGAAAGCACAAATCAGCAGGGAGCAAACTGCAGAAGAAAGCAGAAGATTTTTAAAGAGGATTTAAATGCTCTGAGAAGCCTCAGGACTGCTTGCTGTATGCATCTTGCTCATCTGAAACCTTCTCTTCAATGCTGTTTTTTGCTGCAACATCCAAGCTGTGTCAGAGAGGCCCTGCAGATGAAGCCTGTCTTTGTCTGTGCCTCCTGTACATCCACTACATTCAGCAAGGCTCACGCCAAGAGCTGTTCAGAGAACGACATGAAATGGCATGAGCTGCAAGATCAGAAGTCGAGGCAGGGTACAAAGACATGCCCCATATCTCTGCAGCCTTTATTTCCATCTTCCTTCTCCCCAACAGAAACTTCCTTTTTGCTCAAAATGGAGTATTGGATGCTGTGTCAGACCGAGGGCGCTGATGAATCTCTCGGGGGTTTCATGCCAGACTGATGTGTGGCACAGTGACACCCCTGCCCTGCAGCTCAGTGTGAACGTGCTCAATGCCTGTTCCACTGCCTGACATCCCTGTCTCACACACCAAGCATCCAAGAAACAAGGGACTGGCTGACAGCAGTGACTGCAGCACAGCTGACTCCAGCTGTGCGGGTGGGATATTTTTCAACAGCCATCTCTCAATGAGCAGTTACTTTTTGTTGTCTTTAGGCAAACCATGAGCAGAGAGCGGTGAGTTTTCCTTCTGCTCTGCATCAGAGAAGACAAGATTTGAATCACAGAATCATTTACGTTGGAAAAGATCTCTAAGTCCAACCATTAACCTAGAGCTGCCAAGTCTAACTTGGTGAAGTTTGTAGAAAACCAAATACATCCTTTATTGTTTTCTGAACTTCAATCCACTTGACAAAGTCCTACTTTTCAAGATCCTGCTGTCCACTCCCCAACTCCTCTGCTCTTCTCCTGCCGCTGCAGTTTCTACATAGCTGTTGCTCAACAACTCACCTTTTCCTCTTTTCTTTCTGCCTTGAAACAAATCTAACTTGTGACTCCAAGCTCAGCTGCCTCCAGCTGCATTGCTCAAAGCGCCGTTGTCTCTTTCGGGCAGCAAGCCCAGATCTTTCAGCTCTGACACAGCCAGTCCCAGCCTGAGTCACCACTGCCTGTTGCTGCTACAGCCACCCCACGCACCCAATGACTCAGCCTCTGCTCCCCAGTGCCCTCATCCACCCCAGCATCACTTGTCACCCACTCTTCCTGCCATCCTAGCACCAGGCTGCCCAGGTCCTGCCATGGCTGAAAGCTGCTTAATTCTGTTCTACGTGTAGTAATTACAAAATAATTAAAACAATTTTTTAAAGACCATACTATAGCAATCTCTCAGATTTCTTGACCCAGCTGTAGAACTTAGCACTGGCTTGCTCAAATTGGTCCAAGGCTGCCCACCAGCCACCTTCAGCAAGAAGGGAAAACTGCATTAAACTCATGTTTTAATAACGTCACCTCCCCAGGTGGCATGGGCAAAAGTGACAAATTCAGCCTTCAGTCCCCACCAGGATTTTATCAGTCCAGCAAGAGATGCCAGGTGTGTGTTTCTCTCTGTGAGCCTGCACACCAGTGCCGCCCAAATTGCCTTCCTTAATCCCCTTCTACTGAATGCTGCCAACGTGCCCCTCTTCCCATTGGACTAGGGACCTGCCTCTTACTGTTTGCACTGCCCACCTCAGATGAAGGGTCAGTCCTCCCTTTCCATGCCTCACCCAATCCTCCCATATAATTTCATACAATCATTTGAGCTGGAAGGGACCTCTAAAGGCAACGCCTCTGTAGCCAGATCAGGGTGCTCAGAGCCCCATCCATCCTGACCCTGGATTGCTCCAGAGATGGGATATCCACCATTCTTTCTTCTCTGCTAGCACTTAGTGCACACACTTTTCTAGATTAACTCTGCTGCAGCTTACCAAGGAGGAATGCTATGCAAGACATGACACCACAAACACTGCACTAAGCAGAGCAAAGCAGCAGCAGCTTTGCAATTCTGGTCCTACGGACTGCCCAAGGTTGTCCCCTTACCAGCCCACGGAGGGGGCTTCAGCCCCTTGGCATGGTCCAGGCAGTGCTCCGGAGCTCATGCTGCCTGCTAGGAGATGGGAAGGCCCAAAATCTCAGACAGAGCTCAGGGATTTGCTCATTTCAGGCTTAGCAGAGACCAAGCCTGGAGAAGCTGGAGACCGTCAGCTTGCCAGCTTAGTCTTCTTGTGTCTCTGATGTTTAAAATCTGAACTTTCAGCAAAGATGTGAGAAAGAGCATTAATCAAAATGCAGATGAGCAGAAATATGTTTTTTTTACAGTGGTGAAACCAAACATATTTTGGGAACAGCTGTGGCACACAACTTGTGGCCTCTTTCACAGAACAGATGCACTGTGACATTTATTACTAATGCAAATTACAAACCATCCTCTTTATAGCCTATGGATTGTGCCTGTTTTGGGCACGCTGTTTCCTGACTGCCCTGTTCTGCATGTTTCAGTTCCCCTTCATGAAACCTGAAGGTGATTTATAAGCTGCACCCAAAATGCACAAGCAATGACCGTTTGTACTGTAAGCTCACGTGTGCTCTCATTCCTGGAGCCAGCTTCAGTGCCCTGGGCAGCTCCTTCACCTTATGCAAAACAGCACTTCTGCTTCCTGCCCTTCACAGCCCACACTTCTGCCCCAACCAGAAGTTGCCAGTCTCTCTGCTTCCATTTCAGAGAGTTCCATGAGGTGCCCGATGCCCTCAGGGCACTTCCCAGAAGTGTTTCAGGCACTTAAGGGAAGGAGCTCTGCCCAAACTGGTGGTTTCGGCAGAGATTGCAGCTTCCAAAACCTGAAACAACTCTACCACCCTGACCAGGGGCAGTCAGAAGGCTGGAACTGCTGCAGCCTGGCACCGAGTCTGACCCGCTGCCCAGGCAGTGCTGCTTGCTAGTACTGCATAGAAGTGTTAGGGAAGAAAGCAATTCAAAGCTCCTAGACATGGTGCTGGAAGTCCCAAGCAGCAAACAACAAGAGCAGGTTACTGGTGACAGGCTTAGCCCTGAAAGGCAAGAAGCAATCTTAGATGATGTCAAGTGCCCTGTTTCGTTGCCAGCTCCAGCAGCGCTCAGCACCATGCAGGATCAGCTCTGCTGTGCCCTCCCCTTGCTGCTTTGGGTCTTCCAACAGCAAGACTTGCCACGTCCCATCTCTGCGAGGCCCCAGCACTGTGCCTGACACGTCACACCCGCCACTGGAGTTGCTCTATGGGAAGCAGGCAGTGCTGCTTCAGGAGGAGAAGGAGGAATGGACTGGTCCGATTTCATTAATTTCCATGAATGAAGGGCTCATTCAGATGATTTTGTTTTTGTTTTTTACAATATTCTGTGGTATAGCAAAGTTTGTACATCTCAGAATTATTATAATTTTTTTTTAACTTTATCGTACCTCAAATAGAAGGAAATAAAGATATTGAAAAAGAAAACAACATTTGCAAAACCACGTAATATTGTAAAACAAAAAATGACAGGACTTACCTGAACCCCCTACAGGGCACTGGGGCTGCAGGCGAGGTCTGTGGCGGGTGTGACAGTGCCAGCACAGCGCATAGTGCACGCTGGGGCATCACAGAGAGGCGGCCGGGGAGCCTGGGCTTTCCTGAACTTGAAAAGGAAAACAAAACCCAAGTCAATGATGTGCCACAGGGCCTTCCTAACTGCTGCTGCAGGGACATCCAGCGCAGGAGGTGGCAGAGACCTGTGTTATGCTTGCAGCTCTCAGGCATCCACCGGTGTATTTTGGCATCACAGCACAGCCTGACCTGCTGAGAGCACCACCAGGCTCCTGTCCTGCCCAAAATCTGGCTACTTCTCTGCAGATTCCCAACTGCTTTCACACTGAAGTATCCCACCCTGCAATTTCAGTCTAAGCCTGTTTTTTTTTCTCCTCTCTAACTACTTAACCTTCCTGAAGATCTGCAGACGTGCACAAGGTCTGATAGATGGAAACGGAGGCTGCATCTTCAAAGAAAAAGCAAGTCCTGAGATAGGAACAACAGCAAGTTTCGCCTGCCATCTTCAATTAAAGCACAAAATACTCCTGACATTCAACTGAAGTGATGGTTCATAACGCTGAACACACACACACACACACACAAATGCATTTGTGAGCACGATCCATTCCAGGATGGGCAACAACATCTGTTTGATCGTTGTGAGGTGTTTCTGGGCACTTTCTTTTATTCCTGCTTGGATTTTCATTGTGGTTTTGTGTTTTCCTTTTTAAGCATGCACCCGCTCCTCTCCAGCAGGTTTCTACAGCAGGGCAGACCCATGCTACGCCTCGCTCTAGTGGCTGGATGAGTGTGCAGAGACCTCAGCCCATGCAGCAGCCCTCTGAGATCGGAGCTTTTGGGCCACGTAGACTCAAGTGCAGCACCAGGACCTCAGTTCTGAACTCCACCATCCACAAACCAGGCTAGGACTCGGTGTTCACAAGGCAATGCAGATGAGACCAGCCTTTGTTCTCTGAGTTTAGTTGTTTTTATATGTTCAGTAATCCCTCATTCTTTTTTTTTTCCTTACCTCATCTTTTATATTAAATCGTGACGGTTCTTGTCTGCTTCGGTTTGACCTCCTAACCCCATAAACATCAGGATATTCTTCCCACATCTGCAAAATAAACAGACCATCAGCAGGCCTGCTTCGCTCCATTATTTCTGATTTCTAGAGAGGTTTGACTGTGAATATGAAAAAAATGAAAGAATCAACACAGCACCATTAGGGAATTTTGATAGCAGCAACTAGTAGACAGATGCTTAAAAATCTGAAACAGATCATGATTATTTTGGGCTATTTGGTAACGCTTTCAAGCATACAATTTAACTTAGCATTATCTTTATACTGGTCATCTCTCCCATAGGGCATAAAGCACTTTCTACCTTATTCAGGCTGAAGGACAGAGCTCTGAGGCAGCCACCCTCAGCAGCAACAAGAGGCAGCACTGTGCAGGTGGAATGAATGAACCTACCAACACAAAGGGTGATTCGGTCTCGCACACAGCCCTCACTACTGTTTTCCATAGAGAAATCCTATTAGCTGCCTGCCGAGCCCAGTGGCAAAAAGTCACCAGCAGCAACTTCACGTGCGAAGCCTGTGACCCATCCTGGATGGCAAGTGAGCCAGAACACCTTGTTCTTCTCCTGAATGCATGGACAGGATATGGTTCGGCAGTGCAGGACTTGTGGAAGTGCACAGCTGACTATTGGAAAGGGTTGTGTGCCGTAACACAGCTCTGTGTGCTGTAACCAGGCCCCACAGCAACTTCACACTGCGTACAAAAGCAAGCCTTTGTTCTCTCTGGATGGACAGGAGGAGAAGAGGAATTCAAGAACTGGTGTCCTGATGTATAGGAATGTGACCGTGTTGGTGACACGTAACAACAGAAGCTTTTCAGGGCAGATGCAAACCCATGACCCACCTCTCCAACACCTAAAACAATCCCTCTGCCTTGGCCCTCAGCAGTTTATCACTGTTCAGCTTTCTAAACCTATTCAGCATTTATCTGCTTCTCCCTCCCTCCAGTTCTCAAGTATCTCAGCAAGCAGCTGGCAGGAAAAAGAAATCAAAATGCACTGCCAGTCACTGCAGTGACTTGGGACCGCAGGCATGGTGAGTGCAAGGCTGCAGCCTGGCAGGTTTTTGGTTTTTTTGCTGCTGTTGGAAAAGCAAGAAGCTAATATGACAGCAGCCTAACTGCTGGCGTGTCTATCTGTCAGGAAAAAAGGCAGAGAGAAATTAAGAGATTGTTTATTGTCCCACATGAAAGAACAATTCAAAACGCTCTCCCAACTATTTGAGGAATTTGTCTTTTTATCTTTTAAGTGGCAGAGCTTTTGGAGGAAGAATTGCCTCCCATTACACATCAGAATAGAACCACACGCAAGTGAACCTCACCTTCATGGGTGTGTCTGGAGAGATAGAATATAAACAATAATATAATTAATTGACTCGGTTATTCAAGGGAAACAGGTATGTCCAGGTTAGAGGTAGCTAAGGAAAACGCCCATTAACAGCAGAATTAAGGGAGGGAGAAGCTTCCTTATTAAAGGGTGTCTTGACCTTTAGAAGTTTTATCCATGCTAATTATCCTCTTCTACAGGGATGCGTTCCCTCATGGTGTAATCCTAATGTTTATTGTTGGGAACATGCTTCTAGAAGGCCACAGAAGAGACAACTTCCAGTAGTCTCCACTTATCAACAATAAAACAAAAATCTGAACGCTGTTACCACAACTGCCTCACAAATGCATCCTTCCCTGGCATTCCCTAAATATGGGAGATTTACTGCAACCTGAGCAGGCAGGCCAGAGGTTGGTGAGAGGAAGAAATACGGATGCTGCATTTCCCACTTCTCCCCTCCAGGTATGTGGGGAACATGGGCTGCAAGCACTGCTCTTCTTATGCGTCACATACATAGCAATTTCTCCACAAAACTCCATCTTGTGAATGAGCTGTGCAAAGTACAAGCCACAGTTATGCATAAGAGGCGAGTCACACACCGCAAGGCAGAAAATCACTGACCTAACCTGACCTTCCTCCCTCCAAAAATCTCACTTCACCAAGTTCCTATCTCCAAATGGGCACTTGGGCACTTTTCCCCTCATCTTGCATCTGGTGTGTAACTCAGGTGCCTCCACCTCTTGGGTCAAGCAGAGAGCCAAGGCACAGTTGCTGCACTATGGAGATGCACCACCTGCGTGCCCTCCTCTACCTGTGCAGCAACAAGGTGAGGGCAAGCCTGCCTGTGTAGGTAGGACAGGGATTGCTAAGGGAGCTGTGGAAAAAAACCAAAAACAACAACCACACAACTGTGCTGAACATAACAAATAAAAAGGTTAAACCACTTTTTTCATGTTTTTTCCAAAGAGGCAGGTAGTGATGGAAACAAAACTAAGTGGCCCAAATAAAAGATAAGTACTTTCCCAAGTTGCAACCCGTGGGGAAGCTTTACTATTTCTAGATGGAGAGATCAGACGTCAGAGAGGAATGGAAGGATGGAGGGAGAGGATGAGATGACAGCGTCATTTACTGAAGACAGGCTCCTTCTCCTCCTCCATTACCTGCCTAGTGCCCAAAGGGCTGTCACATCGCACACACAAGCTCCTGCTCACACCAATGACACAGGGCCATACGTACACAAACCAAATGGCCAGTAAGGGGCTTGGGGACACCAGAAGAGGGAGCTTGCTTGGTTGATGTGCAATTCAGGCTGCCAAGCGGCAGGGAAGTGAAAGACAGCTAGGTTCATGCCCTGTGTTCTGCCCGTCCACGGTGGGTGCAGGGTAACAGCTCTGCAGAGCAGCAGGGGGCAATACCTTTTTAACATCTGCTATCCTTTCCTTCTTAGAGGCTGGTTTTTCTTTGGTTTCAGGAGGGGTCTGCTGGGATTTCGAACCCGTTGATTCACTTTCAGATTCAGACTGACTTTCAGAGGACTCGGAGCTGCTGTTAGACTCGCTGCCCTGCTCGCTGCCCTGCTCGCTCTCAGACTGGCTTGCAGAGTCAGAGCCAGAGGCTTCTTCGGATGCCGAGTGACTAATGGTAGAGAGAGAAGAGATTATATTTTAACTGAACTGTCAACAAGTAAAACTGAGCCGCAGCCAAGCTTCAAAGCTTGGGATAGCCTAAATGCAAGTGTGAGGCACGTGGCTTCTGACATATGCTCTGCTTTGTTGCACTGAAGCAGACTTCAGGGGACTCCACATTCACCTCTGCTGAATGCAGAGAGGACAGCACCAGCTCCTAATCACTGCTCATCAACCAGAGCAATGAGGGGTGCCGCATGAGGAGCAGCGCGAGCAACACCACCAGCACTGGTCCTCTCGCTCTTCTCTCCTCTACATCCTGGTACAATCCCATTTCTGAAAGCACCAAGCACTGTGCACGTTATATCATGTGTTGGAAAACATGACATTCTTTTCAAAAAGAGTAAATTCAGCAGCAGAGAGGAGCTTTATCCAGTACAAGGAGAGCAGACTATCTCCTCCTACGTTAACATGCTTTACATCAACATGTTAATACACCAAACATTCAGTTGAACACAGCTCCTCAATTAAACAAAGCGGTGAGAGGCTTTGTTACTCAAAATACTTTTTTGTCCAACCTCTCCCACAACATGTATTCTGTTCCTCTTTTCAAATCCAATTAAAACGGAAAACTCATCATAACGTATTTGCCAGTGAGGCAGTATTAGAAATCTCACCATCACAAGCTAAAAAGCAGTGTTGTAATGAGACTACAGATCCTTAGAACAAGGAGCTTCTCATTCCAAGTCAGCTCTTATCTGCTGCTAAATGCTTACATTATATTTAAGAGTATGTTGCAAATACAGCACCATGAATAAAGAGCCAGAAAAAACTTCACAGAGGGAAAGCAGATGTTTAATTTTTCCTCCATTTACACAAGATACATGGAAAACTCTGCTCATCGTGATTAAAAATATACCAAAGGAAAATAAAAGCATGTATGTAATTACATAACAATATGCAGAAATCAACACACACTTCAGAGGCACCCACCAGCTGCAGGCAGCTACTGCTGACATGCCCATCCACGTGCAGATGGGACCGGTCACGCCGGGGAGGTCGGATCTCCGCTCTCAGCCCCAGATGCTCAAAACTGCTGTTAAGTCCTGTGAGGCCTCCCTGCAGCAGGCCTGCAGCTGCCTTCTCCCAGGGTGCGGGCAGAGGGCAGCAGCTGAGCGCAGCGGGAGCCTCATCCCAAATCCCTCCAGCGCAGGGCACGCAGCCAAGCTCCCGGCCGCCATTTCACAGTCATCCCTCCTCCACCATCTTAGGAGTTCATTGCTGGGGTGGTTGGTGCTCTGGCTTTGTTTGCAAGGCCGAGAATGGAAGAAGTTACATTTGTGGTGGGGGCTAGGGGAGCACAGGAATAAAAAACAGCTGTGAGCTGAAACGTCAAAGGTAAGAGACACGGAGGCTTTTCCAGCAAAGGGGAGTGGACGCATCATCACTGATGATTGCTGCTTTCATTGTCCCAGTTGGTTTGGACAGGCATGAGGGTATTGCAGTGCTCCCTCCCAGAAGGACAGGAAAATCCAGCTCAACTACCACCGTGTCCTGCTTCTGCACACCAGCACAGCTCCTGCCCACCGGCTGCGGCACTCCCAGCTCCCACACCAGGCCCTGCCTTGCTGGCCATCAGGCACACCATCCCCCCCCCCACCCCCAAGATCCTCCTTGAATTCATCCATGAATGCGCTGACATCTGCTCAACCACACTTTTCCAACTCAGCGTCCTTCAAAGAAGCACTGAAACTTCTTTGCTGGAGATTTTTGGAAGATCTAGCATTTATTCAAGAAAACCAAGGGATTTTTATTAGAAACCATTGCAAAAGCATCCAAGAAAACGATTCACCAGCTGTTCCTGGGACAGCAGGACACATCCTGTGGAGCCACCCCTGGGGCCCTGACCTCAGAAGGCATCTGGAGGCATCCAAACCCCTGCTGCCACCACACCAATAGCAACATCAGGCTGGCACTGCATTAAGTTGGCAGTATTCCATGGGGGCACAGAAAAAAAAAACAAAAAAAACTTTTCCTCAATTGGACTTATTAGCAAGAGCTGGAAGAAATTAGAACAATGCTGGGGCCAGACAGCATTGCAGTATTGTGCAAAGACAGAGCAGCAATTGCTGGCCTCCTCCCACGCCAGAGCTCGTTGTTTCTCAAGGCCCTGAGCTTTATTACAAGGACAGAGGAACACAGCCTTCCTAGACACAAATAGCCATCACTCATGTACATTACCTACGTTATGCAGACTGTCATTTTCTTCCTTGATGTGAACAGTGTTTTCTGAAAAGGCCATTTCCCTAGTGACAGGCACAAATGCTGCATACGCCTGCCCTAGTAAGGAAAGGCCCCTTGTAGTAATTTAGGCAATTAAACACAAGTTGTGTTACTCTGATATCTACTGTATTTAAACTCTTGCATATCCTGTAGATGAGAAATGGTACGTCCTTCTCTAGGCTGCTGCAAATAATATAAAACAACAATGAAATCCAGTTAAGACAAAAGGATTTGTGCTCGCCGTCGTTTCTATATTAAAATGCTAAATAATAGTAATAAAAAGCCAATTCCATAAAGTGATCTCAATAAATACCACTGAGACAATCGGGGCAGTGCTTCCACCTGCAAACTGAATACAAGGGATTAGCAACGTGACACTTCAATTCAGGACCCACCACTGTACATAACCCAACACTGAAGGGCTCCTTCCCGAGGCTGGTTTGGGAATATGTCCTGCTTTAAGATACATGAGTTAACATCCAAAAAGGCCTATTTTCTACTGAAGTATAATTGAGGGCAAGCTATAAACACCCAACCAGTCCCACGCGCTTCCAATTCAGTACTGATAATCACCCATTAATGCCAAAACCACAGCTGGATCTTTGGAAACTGCATTAAAGTGAGAAAATTTTTAATAGGAATTACTAATCTGCTAATGCTCAGCAGATCATGTTCCTTTGTTTTCTAAGAACTACTCAGGCCGGAGTTCTGTTTTAATTAAGAATCTGCTGGATGGAAGGAAAAAAATACAGAAATAAAAAACAACTAAATCATCCCTTACCAAGAAGGACACGTTCCTTCCAAGAAATAAGTGGCTGAATGGCAATGATAAGACCTTTCACCATCAGGCATCTACGTTTACAAGGCAATTACAGCATGCCTGAAGCCTCCTGAGTTAGCATTTAGTATTTCACGCCTGAGCAAAGTGACTTCTTTCTATAGGAGATCATCTTTGCTAACAGCAACAAAACGTTTTAAATGCTCCCAACCAGTAAAAACAGCGGACGCTCTCAGAAGATAAAAGGCAAGCTGACAACTCTCAGCACTGACCCAACATGTTGCTGGAGTCAAGAGCTGCCCTGGAAATGGCTCTTACCAGCACCTTCCTGCCCACGCTTCAAAACTCAGCTTTCAATAGACAGAAGTTGAATGCAGCCAGTGGGAGAAGTGAGGATGAAAGGTCCAAGATCCTCCCATAAGCCAAATCCCTCCCAGAAATAAGATTTTTAAGTACTCAACACATCACTGTTTTGAATCTAAACAAGTTTAAATCCCAACAGCAACACTCTGCTAGGCTTTGCAAGCTGAACTGGCACTTGGTGCTGGCCAAGTAACCCAGGTGCTAGCCAAGTAATCCTAGTGCAGGCTCAAAACAGTCTTCAGCACAGGCTCCAGGAGTTGGATAATAGCAGAAACGAAACTTATTGATCCCTGCAGGCAAACACATGCTTCACCCCTGTGTATGGCTGAGCAAAGCTTCACATGGCATATAGATGACAGAGGCCCAGGTCCCCACTTTCATCTCAGCTTACTGTCACTGAACTGGGAACACGAAGCACTCGCTCCCACCCACCTTTACTCGCCAGCCCTTGTTCCCAAAACTCACCTTTTGCTTGAGCCAGCATGAACCGGGTCTTCAGAACTTTGGAAGTATATCATGCCTAGCAGTACAGTGGAGAAAGGGGCCAGCAGCATGACTCCAATTTTGGGATAGGAAGAAGCCAGTTTGGCTATACCTGAATCCACATCCTCCTCCTCTGGCAAAACCAATGATCCTGCCACAAGGGTCAGCTGCATTCCAGCCCCATGGTAATCCTGGTTGGGAACATAGCTGAAGGGGCTGGGACATGTTCCAGCCATACACTCAGCAGGCACATGAGACCGAGCAGCTGTGCATCTCCCCCAGGCCCTGGGGCATGCATCTTTTAGGTCCAGCTTTACCACTAGAAGGGGTTTCTCACTCCCTTTAGTTTTTCAGTGAGGGCTGCCAGCATCACCTGCCCACCAGCAGCACCGGTCATGGAAGCAACCCTGGATTTACTCCAAAGCACACAGTGGCAAAGACAATGCAAGCCACCAACTCACAACCATTTCAAACAGATATGCTTTCCTAATGTGACCTACACACAGGTGGTTCTACACACAAAGGGAATGCGACAAACCACGTAACATGCACTGATCCAGCCAGATCCCACGCTGCTTTCTTTTTTAACATTTCCCCGAATATAAATGTGATGTTCTCTATTATTATATACAAACATACACTGTGTTTATGTATACTAGGAACAAGCATTATCAGTTAATAGTGATGCATGGCCCAAGACACACAGTAGCTGTAAAAATAACAAATAAAAAAAAAAATCAAGCCATGTAAATCCACCTATAGCCATGGAAAGCAACATGAGTGGTTGTGGCTACAGGTCACTTGATAAAAAGGGATAATAAATGGATCACAAGAACTTGAAAGTTCTCAATAGGATCCATCCTTTGCCTAAGAAAACAAAAAAGTTCACAAGCCAATGCTATACGAAGTACAGCCGTACATAGAGCTTGTAGAAGAGCTAACTGAACAGCATCCGACCTGTGTCACTGAAAATAAATCCATTCATAACTTTATAGGCTTTATTTTCAAAAAAGTGATAGGCACCCACCCATCTCCTGAGGCAGTGGCTTTTTCTAGTGATAACGGTTGGGACAGTTTAGTCAACAAAGACTAAAGTTTCCCAGCCTGGGTTAGTCAATGAACTTATCTCCTACAGGCAACAAAGCAAATGGGGGAGGGAATGGAGAGGAAGAAAAGTACTGCCATTACTCTGTTATCAGTACTCACGCACTGCTTGTGTCTCTAGTTCTAAACTACAACACACTGAAGGCAGAGAGGCTCTTCAGCACCTTAAAATACTCACAACATACAGATCTGGGAAAATCTGGATAGACTGTCATGGGGCACAAGAACCCATGGCTTATGTACCTGCCAGATAACCAAGGTGCCCTTCAAAACACAGATGAAACGGAGGGATTTGGAGGTAGAAAAATATTTCCCCAATCTCACTTAATGACAGCCAACTTTTCTTCCTCGATAGGCACTTGTATATTCTCCATGGTAACTCTTCCTCCACACGTGACTGCAAACCCGGCTTGCAGAAAGTGGGTGTTAATTACATTTACACAGCAGCAGGCACAACAGGCCCACCGTGCAACCCAAAAACCAGGGGATTATGCACCCAGCAGGCATCCTATCTGAATAACCATCTGAATTGGCTTGTGCCACTTGCCAGCCTGGCTCAAAGAACAGGAAGGGGAGGAGGCAGAGGGAAATCTCCACAGACACCATTTACTTGCTCCAGCACAGGACTCCCAAATGCCAAAGGCAAAGCAGTCCTGAGCACAGAGCGAGCTAAATATATCCTTCACTGCTTTGCTGCAGCTCAAAGCAGATGGGGCTATCTTGAATGACAAGTATTTTCCAGAAAATTTCCTCCCCTCGTCCCCCCACTACAAAGGCCCCACATTATGCTTGCATAATAAAGCAAAACCAGCAGTTCATTCATGAGTGGGAGAGGGGGCTCTCCTGCTCTCTGATCTTTGGGCCAGAGGCTGAAAATGCCTGGGATGTTTAGCGGGGAGAAAAAAAAAGAAACAAAAAGATGGTGACAAAAGGAGTCACAACTTGTCTGCTTGATTAAGGAGTGCCATTGAGAACGTCCAAAGGCAGCACAGCATCCTTCCCTGCACCAATTGCAGTGTAGAAAGTACAATTGCAGCCCTCACGGATTTGAAAGGACAGCTCTCCCCACCCCCAGGAAGGCAGCAAAGCATTGCAACGCTCAACATCCATTACTGAGCCACTCCAAACCACACGCTGCACTGAGCAGCTCCATGCAATGCAGCCAACGGGTGCTTATGCTTTTCCAGGCGGCTGTAACAAGGCGTGGGGGGGGGAACTCACCGTACCCCACTGCCACTCCAGCTCCTGCTTCGGGCAGCACAATGGGAACAGCACACATTGCCAGATAGAAAGAATTCGAAGCTGCAAGACAGGGAGGCTGCAGAGCACACAGCATGCAAGTCAAGTCTAAACTACTGCAGCGGGCAGGTCATGTTTTTTTTCTCCCTTTAACATTTGCAAGTTTCCTTTGAGAAGTAATACGGTAAAGAAACAGAATATGAGAATTTGTGACTTAGAATCAGTTACAAAAAGTCAGAGGCACAGCTTCCTTCCTGGTGCCAGATGACCCGCAGTTCAGAAGAACGGAACTTGACCTAGCCTGAGAATCGCATTCCATGTGTCTGTTGAAAGCTTTTTCTAAGCAACAGATCTAAGGCTCGCCTTAAGCCTGCATTGTACAGACAGCACATGGCATGCAAAGCCCTCCAACCGACAGCCCTGCTGGCTTCAGAGCAGAGGCTCCTCCCCATGAAAGAGACATAAATGACTCCTCGAGTTAATATGTGAACAATTACACCACATCTGCACCCAGCAAGAAAACTCACAAGAAACAAACTATTACAACTTTTTTTTTTTTCTTTTCCTAGGGATCTGAGTGTTCTGAAGACAGGGAATTCTTCACATTGCAACACAGTCGTTTGGAGCTGGGAGCAGAGGTTTGTGAGCAGCAAACAGATGAGGAGCACAGCAAGCTGTGAGGCTCAGTACTTGGCAAAGGCTCCCCAGGAGCCCAGCCAAAGTGTGAGGCTGTGTGAGCAGTTACCAGCACCATACCAGGAGAGGATCCCAGACAGGATCCCATATAGACTGCTTCTAGATAGACGATCTCAAAACGTTAACATTAAGTAAACCCTATGTTGAAAAATTATAGTTTTGTAGCAGTGCTGCACAAGCAGCAGGGTCATAAATGCTACTGCATATTTGGAAAGACTAATCAAGATTTTGCTTATTATATTATAGCCAGAAAACATTCCCAGCTCCAAGAAAAGAAGGCATGAGCAGTGTGACACTTACAAAAAGCTTCATCACAAACCACCAGACACTAATTTTTCTTCTCACTGGTTTTGCTTTCATTCCAATGATCCTTTGCAGGATACGGGCAGTTTTTACCAGCACCCCACCACCTCTTGGAAGCAGCTCGTTTGGTGGTGTTTCAGCACACATCTTGTCATAGAAGTACACCAGCAAAATTTATGTAAGACACCATGTCAGTAGGGCAGTGCATCCTTTGCTAGAAGGCTGCTTAACTAATTACGATAATCCAGGCTACCCCCTCCCTCAGTGTTGTTCTGTTCATATTCACATCCCTTGAAGGAAAAAAAGAAAGAAAGTGCTGTTCTGCATTTTCTCCATCCATTAGAGCCTTCCAGAGCCACAGAAACATTTCTCATCTTCAGAACTCGGCCTAACTTAAAAGTGCAATTCCTACTGGGACTGCTGTCTGCAGCACAACAGGTGCTCATATACACCTCCATGTTGTTTATCAGGAGAAGCCACTTCAGCCCGAGCTGCCAAACCCACGCCTCACTGCAGCTGATCGGAGTTCAAAAGCTGCACAGCCACAGCATCAGAAGCGTCAGTTCAGGCACTGCTCACAGCCCCAGGTGTATACTTGAAGTTCACTTCAACTCTGAAAGAAATAGCTGTGCTCTTGACATCACTTCTCCCCCATCTGTGGGAGCGTTCCACATCAGCTCTCCTCAGAAACGGGGGAAGGTTCGCAGAGCGTAACTGTTGCCCTCAGTGCTGCAGGTGAAACATCGACCCAAGGAAGCAGAACAGGTGTTTCATTTCCGATCTCAGCACAGCAGCTCCTCATGGCAGCAGCACTGTGAAATGCAGGCAGGAGATGTTTGTGGCATGGCACGTGTGCCCCAGCTCAGCAGAGCTCTGGCTGAAACACGTGCCACGTGCTACAGGAGTGTTTGTGAACGGTTACTGAATTACCCAGGTGAGCTCTGGTTTTCCATTTTTATTCAGCAGAAGTCACGCATTTCAAGAAAATATAACATTTAATTATCTACCTTAGAAAGTTTAACTAAAGGACACAGTCCAAAAGAGATGAAATCTAGCTAAATGCAGCTCCCTGCAGTCGGTGAGCTTTATATATAGTATCCATTCCTGGCAGCAGTCATAAAACAGGAAACTGAGAAGTTTTAGCTCTCAGAATTGCGCGTTTGTAATTTGATGAGACATTTCCTTTGAGAGGATAATATGAAACAGAAGTCAGGAAAGAAGAACAATCTCCCTTGTGCCCCCCCACAGCTTACATCACTGCTTGTACGAATTCCTCACACATTACTCCTTTGGATTCCTACTCTGAGAAAGCATTTTCCCTTTCCCAAAAAAGGCCTTCGACAGCTTCATAAAGGGTTAAAGATCAAGTAGGAAGAAGAAAAATCTCATTTAAGAATGCACCAGCACAAGTGAAACCGAAAGAGACTGTGCGCGCAGGACGGCAGAGCAGTACACAGTAACCTGCCAGCGTGGACGGAAAGCTAGAACTCTTGGTTTAGTAAACACAGTCACTGCCTCCACTCAGTCTGGATAAAGCCAGTCGTACAAAATGTGCTGGGAGTAAATTTAATTTTCAATGATTTGGGAATGCTGCAAGCTGAAACGCTACGAAAGACATTCAGGTGCTTCAGGAATACTATATTCTGCAATTACTTCCAAAGTACAAAAAAAGCCACAGCAAAAATAGCTCTCCGCTCGTTTCCAAGTCACCCCCTCCTCGCTTCCAAAAACAGCCCGCGGTTCGTTTCGTAGAAGCACAAAGGAAACCCAGAAGGCAGAGGATGAGAGAAGGGTAGCGAAGGCGCTGGGCTCCCACCGAGGGCACCCAGCGCTCCCACAGCACCCGGCGCTCGGCACGCAGCCCGCTCCCAGCACCCAGCGCGCAGGCAGGCTGCGCACGCAGCCCCAGGCAGGGCCCAGCCTCCCGCAGCGCCTCCGTCCAGCCAGCTGTTACCAGGCGAGCGCGCAGCCAATCCCCGGCCCCGGCGAGCACAAGATGGCCTTTGAACTCCCCACCAGCAACTTCCTGCTGTTTTTAGAGTACACACAGTGCAATGCAGTATGTCTGTCAGCTATGCGGCACAAAGGAACAGCCATTTTGTGACTCGACCGGACCCGCACCAAAATGCCAGGCGGAGCGGCCTTCCCCTCGCCCTTCGCGGGGTATCGTGGCCTTCCTCGTGCCGCAAAAGAGGAAGAGCTGCCCCACGCTCCCCTTGACAGAGGTGCAGCCATTTCTGCTCACAGCCTCGTCCCCCCACCCCCCCGCACGAAGTGCTCTGTCTGGAACTACATCTTCATAAAATGGCTGCCGAGGAGCAGCGAGCCGTTCTGGGCCGAGGCGGCAGCGCAGCCTGCAGCACCCTGCCCACAGAGCCACCGCCGAGTCAGAGCCGCTGCTCCGAACAACACAGCCTCAGGCCCACCCTGCTTTAACTTTTTTTTTTTTTTTCTTTCTTTCTTTTTTTCCTCCAAAATGGTGAGAAGACCTAAATGCAATGGGCTGTTCAGCCCTGCAGCCTTCGTAACAAATTCCCTGCACGCAGGGATGTAAGAGCCACTGCAACAAAGGCAGGGAGCGAGCCAAGGGAAACCAAGATGGTGGCTGTGTGCTGTGAACTATCCCTGCACCACTCCAGGGGTCACAGGACCCCCACCTGCACTGCACTGCTGCAGCTCACATCAGGGTTGCACTGAACGTGTCCAGCACAAGCTCCCACCTTTCAAGAAGGGTAAAACGAAGGATGCTGGGAAGCATCAGGACTGTGTTTGGCTACATGCAATTCATGCCCCCAACACACAGGTGGTGGTTATTAGAACCTCACCCACGTGGAGGAGGTGGCCCAGAATTGATCACTTGATAGCAAGGCAGGCCCAGCACTGTGGGGAGAAGGGACATGAGGGCAGGTGTGGTTGGTCCCCTAGGGGCACCACCACAGCACTCCTTCAGCTCACAGACTGGGGGGTCAGCATCGTTTTGTCCCCAGCAATGATCACCCGCTCGAGGACAACCTTCAGATGGATTCTGGTTTGTTCACACAGCTTTTCACTTCCTTTGGACTGGCAATGCAGGTGTCAATTCCAAATACTCCCCAGGCTGCGCACTGAAGGAGCATTGAAGTATTACATTTTCTTCTCCTTTAACATCTTTTTTTCCTAGTCCTGTATTTTGGCATCTCCAGCTCAAGTGGCAGTGGTTGTATCCACCTTATCCACCCACTGCCACCATCCACACCTCCGATCCAGGACTACAGACCAGGACTTCACCAATGTACACATGGTCACAACTCAGGAAAGAAAAAAAAAAAAAAAAGGCCAGCAGCATTTGAGGTGCAGACATGAGCACAGCTCTGGGCTGCAGTAAAGCAAAGTGGTGGCTTTACTTCCTAGAAATCATTTCCCCTGCAACTTCAAGTCAACCTCAGGAAGTAAAGCCCATTTTACGACATTCAGCTGACTCACAGCTCAGAAGCCAGCTCGACAGGGCTCACTCACAAACAGCCCGTGTTCAATTGTTCCCACACCTCAGGTGAGGGGATGTTACCCACAGCAAGTTTATTTAGGGAAGAACAGTGGAAGAGGCAGGGTAACCTCACAACAGGTGTTGCGTATAAATCAATCGAGATAAACAACCTTTCAAAGAAATCAGCAAAATCACACATGTGAGACTATGCAAATATAATCACCCCGAGGACAAAAACACAAAGGTCTTCTTTCTGTGCAGCTACTGCTAGATGTCTCTGTTTTCACCTCCTATTCAGCACAGTATTTCTAGCAGATACGCTGCCTTAATTTTGATTTCCTGAGCAAATCACACCTACTATTGCTTTAGCTGTCAACCCGCACTTAAAACCACCAGAAAAACAAAGTGAATACTCTTTTTTCTTTTTTTAAATAAGACTTCTAAAGCAATATCAGCAGTATTTCTAATAACACTAATATTAAGGTTTGAAAATCTGACTTATTTTCAGATTGCATTACTATAACATCACTGTATAGGTGCTATATATAATGTTTCAACATCCCTAAAGCTAACGTTATTAATAATCATTTTCAACTTACCCCCATCCATTCTAGGATTAAAAATTTGACCGCAGTCTTAATACATCTCAAATACCATAAATGTATTTTAGAATGTCACAGCACTTGGATAATATTCCCATAGTATGTCAAGTGTGCATTTAAGGTTAAATAATGGACATCAAAAATACCAGTCAAACACCTGCAAACATCACATCAGAGCACATGTGATACCACAAACTGTTCACAATTTTTTTTTATTAGTGCGACTTAAAAATTACTTAACACCAAAGGAAAAATAATAAGCAGGCCAGAATTCCATCAAAATTAACAAAATGCAAAACTCGGCGTATTTACAAACCAGAAGACAAAATGCATGTAAATTAATTTTCAATTTTTTTTTTTTTTAAAGTCGACCCATTAAATATAAAAATGAGCAATAGGTAATTATACTCGTGCATTCTTAATGAACCAACATTGTCAGTATTCCATACTTTTCCTACATCAAGGTTCAGTTCACAAAAACCTGTAAAGAATCTAATTACTTCACAAAATAAATAAAAATACTCCCAGCAATAATACATTAAATAAACAGACAATGCATTTGCAGCCTCTTGTTAGCAGCCCCGGTTTGTATTTTATAATACAAAATGCTACGACCACTGGAGAAAAGTTGAGTATAAATTGTATGAAAATATTCTAAAATATCAAAACAGCATCAAAGTTCCACAAGCTCAAATAAAAAATGAAGTAAGGGCTACCGGACAGAAAGGCACTTTTCAGTTTATATTTTAAAATGAGCTTTTTTTCATTCATGCAACTTTTTCTTGTGCCTATTTACTATAATTTACTACTACACCAGGCTTCTGTATGGCCCTCAGTTAAAGTTTAGACTTCTGAGATTCTTCAAAGAAAAATTTGCCTTGTATGTAAAATGGTGCAATGCAGCAATGGCTAAACCGACAAGGTCATTTTTCACAGCACAAAAAACCTAAAAACTGAAATTCAAAAGCTGGAAAAACATCATACAGAGAAAAGGGCTCCCCTGAATGAAGGTACAGTACCTTTTGACTATGACATGGGCCCTTAAGTCACAACACAACTTTCAGAAATTGCTACCAAAAAAATTAGGGTGTGGCATGCTAACAATCTCAAGGTCATTCCTTAAAAAGGAAACAAAAATCAGTAAAATGTTTTGTATTCAGCACTGACAGTAACCCAAGGCTGTCAAAGTAAACAGGGTATTCACAGGTTTTACCAAAAAAAAAAAAGAAAGTTGATAGATCATACCTCGATGCATTGCTGTGGACTGAACCCTCCTCTCCTTGGCTTTTGTCCTTATTTCTCATCATCTTTTTATTCTTAAATAATAAGAGGGGGTCAGGGATGTCTGCTTGCTTTGAAGTCCTGTGCCCAGGTATTTACTGTCAAAAGTTGAAAGAAAGGTAAGGTCCCAGCTCGTTTCACTGGCTTTCATTATCAGGAACAAAGTCCTGACGCTGCAATGATATTGTTGTAACAATACACAAAACTGATCGACACAGCAAAACGGAGATTTAAAACAAATAATCATTTTTTAGAGAAAAAAATACGGGGGAATAAACATCGAAGAGGAGCATCCTGCAAACTTTCCCAAAGTAACACTGGATGCAAATAATCTCTATCTTATTGCGTCATCCGAATACAGCCCGAATCGGTCGAAAATCAAAGTACTCAAAACGGCAGAAATCTAAAAATTATTATTATTAATTGCTCACCTACCTGATCCATGCACCGCCGCCAGGACCAAGTCGATCTTAGTTTCGGGTCGTGGAAAAACATTAGATCCAAAATATTTAGAGTTCGGATGATAAAATACGAAATTCAGAAAAAGAAAAAATATATATATTCTAATCCCAAAAATATGCTGTCGGTAAAGCAAAAGGAACGATAATTAGTACAAAAATGTCCGGGGGAAAAAGCTCATTAGGAGAGCGCACAAAAATGGAGGTACGCCATGGCTTCTAAGCTGGAAAAACAACGACCTGGGCTCTCTCCACGGCTTCTTCTTTCCAGCAAGGCACGAAAAGGGAGCCCTCAAAAGCTGCTTTTCTGCCCGAAAAAGATCCGCTCGGCCCCCTATTAGTGCCTAGGAGAGGCAAGGGGCTGTGGGGGCCCCCTGAGGCTGCCCGAAAGTTAGGGAAAGTTGCGTAAAGTGTTGGGGAAGGCACGGAGCTGAGCGCGCTCTCTCTAAGGCACAGCCGCCATCTAGAGCTCCTTCCCAGCTCTGAGCTCTGCCTTTGATTGACACTCTCTACATTTACCCCACAACTCAGGTGATGTACCATAGACCCACCCCTTCATTTCTACCAAAAAAAGAGATAGCCTCCACCTAAAGGGTGCCTGCTACCCCCCACAGCCCTGGCTCCTTCCAACTACCCCAGCAGAAGGGGCACCTTAACCCCCTGTGGCTCAGCCACCCTTTTGAAACCAGAAAGAAACGTAATTTGTTCCTTTTGTTTTAAAGATTTGCTAAATATTTCAGTGCATGGGCTAAAATTACTTCCTCCCTGGACAGGAAGTGCTGCTGCTACAAGCCATTTTGAAAGAATGGCAGTGGAGCTCACAGCCATGCAGCCAGCAACAGCCCACCTTGGGGGTCGCCCCACCCGAGGGGCATTTATTTTTAAATTAAGCCATAGTACCCCCAGACAAAAGCCCTTCCTTTTGTCATCCAATGCTTGCACGTAGTGCTTGGGACAGAAGTGCCACGAGCTGCTGAAAAAGCCCCACAGTGCTTCCAACCCCTTCCAGCTCAACAGCGCCTCCCTAGTGGTCTGCCCCAGCAACACAAACCCAACTGCTACGGCAATCTCATCAGCGACATGAAGGCACTGCTGTAGAATAAGTCCCACACCATCAAATGAATTATTTCTCATTTCCATTCTTAACTCATTAATATTTGCCAAGAGATTTAAACAAAAGAATTCAAAGCCGCGAAACAGCCAAGATGAACATTCAGAAATCAAGCCACGTCTACAGTCCAACATCCGGGGTACTGAGAAGACATCACAGAGGAGATGGAGGAGAACCAAGCATCCCCAGCCTCTTGCTTCCTGACCGCCATTTGTTTCCCCACAAGCAACAGACAACTTAAATCACAAGGACTTCTTCCACATTTGTAGCCATCACAACCAGAGATGGAAATCAGCCACTGGGTAACTGATGGAGGGGA